TACATTTCATTTGTGCTCCAAGGTTCACCAATTCTTCAAAGAAATTCTCTGAAAACCATTCACAGCTTTATGATTGTGTTAATCTTGTGAACGGCTGGACTTGCATCCACTTCTTAGCTGCAAAACATAGAAATCCTTTCTTGCAATGCACATCTATCCTCAAAATTCATTGACTTTACCATTTGAAAAAGTTCAAACAGACAGACATACAAACATGAACAAAACATTACCTCTATGCACATAACATCGGGTGAAGCAGGGGTATTAGAGGCCTGCCTCCTAAACACACCTGATAGGACATATCCATGGTGAAGATATTAAGGAAGCAGATGTTGAATTGTATTTTTTTTTCCTTCACATTTACAAGATGAAAATTTTAATCATCTAGACCATATGTTATTTGCACCTGGAATTGGAACTATAGACGCATGTGTGAAACTTAAAAATTTGTTGACTAGAGATTCTACGTTCACTTTTATATTTGTGAAGCTTGTTTCTACCTTTTTTCCTCTGTACAGTCCTATCATTGATGATAATATACATGGTATTCATACAGGTTATCTTTCTTTGCAGCAATTGCTCTCTTAAAATTCCCTCATCATTATTGCATCCTTGTATTAGTTTAGTACCAAAAATGTTACTGCATCAGTTGGTTGTTTAATGTTTTATATGGTCACAAGGATAGAGAATGGCAAACTAGAGCAAAGTTAATGATCTGTCATCTGGTAATCTCCAGTTAAAACTCAAGGCATAAAACTTCAGAATTATACCATTCTGTTATCAGAGGATAAAGCAATTTTCAAGGAGGCCTTAAAAATCTGTGTCTGCATGGCAATGAAAATCTCTGGAGTATTGGTCTTTCCAAAGAGTAATTGTGAATCTGGATACCAGATCCTTCTAAAACCGTTCTCTGGTTTTTTTTCCCCAGCCTATAATAATTCAAAAGAACAGAACAGAATTCAGAAATTCCTTTACATGCCATTTTTTTTTCAAAAAGTCATCAAATGTTCATATTGACTGTAAATTAGCTTTGTTTTTCTATTGTTTAGTGTATGTTGACAAAATACAGTTGGAGCGGGGGCATGGCCTCTTGGTTCTACCTGGATTGATCCAATTTATATCAAATAGATTGTAGCATATCTTTTGTTATTAACATTCAATATTTAGATTGAGGTGCTGTATACTCTACATAGTTCGTCCTGAACAAAGGAAGAAACTGTTTTGCCCTGAATTCCAATATGTTCAGGTATTCACTTCTTCTTTACTTTTATGACATTTTGCATGTGTGCTGTACCATCAAAAATCAATATCCACCAAATATACACACTAAATATAATACATTTACAGTATACCCCCCTTGTGGCAAATTTGAAAAGGGTCAACTATAAATTTAAACGTACTGTAATGATAGCAAAATATATATATATTATCCACTTTCAAGGGCAACCACAATAGTTACTGGTAAGTTTGATCTCTATCACAACCTTCAGCCTTGTGACTTGAACACCAGTGAGGGTCATATACTCCTTATAGGGTACCAGTGTGCAAAGTTTGATACCTATGAAGCAAAGAGGTTTCAAGATTTAGAGCAGGCATCTTCTGTCCAAAGTTTTTTAAACTATCATGATTTATTTGTTGATGCTAGCTGCTAAATGTGACAAAACATCTAGGTAATCAAACAAACGTTATTGAAGTGTTGCTGCTTTGAATAAAATTTGTATTTTATTAGATTTGTGGTAGTCAGATGGGTAGATCCCCAGTAGCCAAATAGCTCAGTTGGTAGAGCACCTGACTGGAGATTCTGTGGGCCAGGGTTTGAAACACAGTCTGGTCTCTTACATATTTCTCCTTTTCCATTACATTTGCTGAGCATCTCCATATGAGTGAAAAATTTTCTAGAGGGACATTAAAAAACAAACATTTGGTGCCGTGACCAGGATTAGACAGGTGAAAAACCTGCCAGGGAAAAAGCCCAAGCTGGTGTCTTTTGAGGCAAAAGACCTTTAAGGAGGGAGGAATGTGGCAATTAGATGGGTTCAATTGCCGGTGGTCAGATAGCCAAGTTGGTAGAACCCCTGATTGGAGATTCAGGGGGCCTGGATCCGCAGTCTGGCCCGCCACATTTTTCTCCTCTCCCATTACAGATTAAATTTTAAGTAATGGGGCTTAATTTGATACATGTCTGTCCTTTACCAAGTATTTTATGTATTTATTAAGTAATGATCTCAATTTCATGAAAGCAGCAGCAATTTTCAAGTTAAGGAATATTTCCTTTATCTATATTCAAAAAAAAAAAAAAAAAAAAAATGGTCAAGATCTACTAAGTGTTTCCCCTTTCGAAAAGGCGTTTTAACAATGCACCTTGATATAAAACATCCCAACCCTGTACACATTAACAATGAATTCAATACCTTCTCTCGACAATGATTAAATAATAGCATTAAACAAAGTAACACTTGGATTAAATATCTCTAAATAATATTCTGTTCAATAATAAAATGCATTTTTCACTGTGGAAAAATAACTTGATCCACCTCTCACTGCATACTAATTTTACCATGATGACGTCATGACAATAAGTGCATTCTGATCATTAACATGTTTATATCTTGCTGTATAGGAATTAAATAGCAACAAAAATGAATGCAGTGATAAGTTTGAAAGTAGTTTAATGCTGTTATACTGTTTAAAGTGCATATTATTTCATTTTCTGGTACTATGAGAAATTTTAGCTTGACATCACAGTAAACATTTCCCAAATATGTTTGGCCCCACCCCCTTTATGTAGTCTTAACAACACTTTGATGCATGATTAATGCAAGTTTGGTCCATGTAGGGTTTATAGGTACTTGAAAATGAGACCTGCTTCTAAAACTCTTAACTGCATGCAGGGACACCAACGGTATAGCATATGCTCATCTCGACTTATCCATGTCAGTTAAATATAGTGAATTTTCACATTTTTTGTTTCCATGGTAACACCAAGAATTGATTACTATAAGCCAACTTTAATTTGTGAAAGAATACAAGTAGTCCATGAGTTTGCAATTTTCATCAACTCACCAATACTTGCTGCAAACCAATTATTTTATTGTGCAATATATGCATGTTTCCTCAGTGTGTCGTGAAAATAATGTTGCGGGTGAATTTCAGGCTGATGAATTGCAAACAAAAGTTGTTGTGAATAATAGTTGGTTTACAGTATATTTCCCATTGACTTGTTTGGGTAAATATAAATCATACACAAAGTCTTTTAAATTTCTTGTCTCAGCAATGAATGATTATAGTTCCACTTTGCCACAAAAATGACCAATATGTGGTTAGATTTCAAAATTGTCAAAAAATTTGCATTTCAACTCTGAAATGCACTGCCATGCTAAACATGTCCTCCATGACATTTCCCAAAATAATTACTTGAAGAAAGCTTTATGTAATACAAAGTTTGGAGGAAATTTGTAATTATTTGTGCCACACCCCTAATATAAAAGTGCAAATCCTTAATACAGAGAATGACTTGATATAGTCAAAATAAGAAAATGCAAAGCGTGTCTTTTTGTACTTTATTGATTCCTGTGTACATATGACCACACCCAATATTGTGGGTACTGTGGTTGTAGCAATAAAGCTGCCATACAGAGGACTGCATAGTGTTAATTATAGTTAACATGTAAGGAGCTAGTTCTACAAATCCTAATCAATATACAGGTATAAAGCTAAATCCATAGGTCACAAGGCTCACCCGAGTCAAATTTCTCTTCACCTTATCTCTGAGCAACATGACTTCATGTACTTGAGGATATTATATTTGATTCACTTATAGCAATTTTGCTGTTTTATAAAACAATTTTCAGAATTTTCTCTATCTAGTCTCATGTAGAACTTTGAACCCCTTGGTCCTGTCCAAGCCCTGGATCCATGATCTGAACAAAATTGAATCTACCAGTGCCTGGTAAGGTCAAACATCAGGTGGACTTTTCATAAAAAGATGAGGCCATTTTGAAATTTTAGAAAGAAAGAATATATTGGGGTCATATTATATCATAACATGGTCATTTTTTCTAATGCAAATATATCTGTGACAGAGATCAAGGGACAAGCCATGAGTAGTGTAACATTTTTTCTCTGTTAATGTATTAGTGACTAGTTGTGATGCTATGGTCAGCTGTCCAAAACTTGACTCTTGCAAACCATGTGAGAGGAAAAGTTTCCATATGTTGAATGGCAGTTCCGATTTTATTATTCCATATACATCTCAGGCAATTCCATCTAACTTCAACTAACTGCAATTAACTTATAAAATGGAAAATCATGTGTGGCATATTTTACAAAATATTTGCTGGGTACTACGCATGGCGCAGTGCACCATTATTGCACTGCACCATTTTTTGGCAGTTTGGGCATATGGCACATGCTGTGGCCCCTTCGCAGGCCCTAATCTACACACGAGAATGTTTGCGTATTAATCTGATTTTTAAATACAGTTCAAACTTCAGTATCTCAAACACGGATATCTCGAATACCATGGATATGTCGAATTGATTGGGAAGTCTTTACCATGTATTTCTTAAGTATTTTACCCTTGAAATCTCGAACCCTCGGATATCACAAAGTTTTTTTTTCTCAGTCCCATCGAGATCCAGATAACGAGGTTTGACTATATTTTCATTACACCCTCTCCCATATCACACCCTTTTTCTTTGAAAGTATAATATAGAGCAATAGTGACCTAAAAATGTTAAAGCTTAACAGATGAAAGGCAAAGAAATGGACAGATGATGGATAAATTTCAATCAGAAACATTCGAGTCTGGCTCAGGTAAACTTAAATTCATTAAAGAAACCTGGAACAAAACTAGTGTTGCTTCTACATTATTATTTGAAAAAAAAAAAAAAAAAAAAAAAAAACCTATTATTTACATGCAAACATAAAATTTGAATTAAAATTTAAAATAAAAAGAAAGAAATTGTAAGATTTTCACATACTTTTGTATGGCTAATTATATTAATTATATTAGGAATGTGACTTTTGACAATAAATCAAGGTGTAAATAATATGTACGAATGGCTACAAAATTCATTCAATATAACATAAATACTTCAAACTAAATAAATATCTACAACTTGAGAAATTAACCTGCATAAATCAACAGCTGGCCTAGACTAGGTTATGTCATAAGCAATCAATAAATGCACTACTATGTAAAAATGATATAAAACTTGTAAATCATTATAATGCAGGATGAAAAGTGAATAAACCTAGACATTTACGTAAGTCTATTTCTGCTCATGAAATATTAATCTTGGAACACAGATTTTAGAATTTATATTGATGCAGTTCTCCTCTTCTGGAAAGCAAAATATTTTTTCGGAGGTATTTGTTACTGTAGTATGTATAAGAAATGAGCACAATATAATCAATCTTTAGAAAAATATGAAAAGTTTTTACAATGTTGCAATCAAAAACCCTTTATCATTAAATTGGACACTTATGGATTGCTTTACCACCGAATGCATTTTCTCTTTATTATAAAAACTTGTCCACATAAACTTCCATCATGCTCATCATTTTTCCTGTTTTTATTTTCATGAAAAAAAAACCCATTAACTAGTTTGGAAGGCAAAAGATACTATAAATTGCTACTATTAATTGTAAAGACTTGAAAGTATCCAAAGTTTGACCCCTCTTTTCCCTCATTTCTTAACATCTTACATAAAAATAATGGTACTGATATGTAACACAATTTCTACATAATAAAAAATGAGGTAGAACAGAACAATTTCTTTGAATTACTTGACCTCCATTTGATTTTCAATATTCTCCAGTATTTCAGGCTTAGAGACAGTAATTGTGTGGTCCACTGCTGGATTTAATGGAATACTGGCACTAATGAGATCATGGAAGAAGGCCCCATCATTATCCCCTCCCCCAAAGATAAGTACTTCGTCCTGTTCCTGGTTTTCATGGTAGTAGGGAAGGGACAAAGCCTGATGGCCACAGCGGGGGATAGGTGTAGGGTCCATGCGAATCCTCATCCAGCTTAGAGTACCTGATAATATATCAAAACTTCCATAATTTTTTTCTTGATTCAACAAACAAGGTGATTATTTTTTAAAGCTTTTCATCATGTCTGTGAACAAAAATTTAACCTTGTCTCCAATTTGTACGAAAAGCCAACATGTAAGACATGTTTAACCAACTAAAATTTTAAAATTCAATGTCAGTTATTGTCAGAAATTGATATGTTAAAAATACTAGTATGAAAATTATTCTGGTGAATTGTCTAGATATTCTTAGAAAAAACTTCAACATTTCAGAGGATTAGAGGGTTAAATACTTAAAGAATAATGGGTTGGGACTTCCAAATCACTTTGACATATGGTATTTGTGATACCAAAGTTCAACTATATCACAACCCCACAAATACAATTTTATAATGCAAAATGAATGAAAATACATGACGTTCATAGTTTAAAAATCATACTTTCAAATGTTCAACATCATGTTTCAGCCATTCCTGCCCTCTTTTCAACTTTGTTGAAAATCCCCCATTATGTTTAAACCAATCATATTCTTTATTTTACATTTTTTTTAAGGTTCATCTGTGTTTTTTTCTGATACTTTTTTTTTTTAAATAGCAGAAAGTCAGAGGCAATTCTCTCACTTTGATAAAACACAACCAACCCTACTTGCCATAGACACTTTCACTTATTGTCGTCTTCTTAAAAAAAAACCTTGTGTTTTGATTTTAACATTCTCATTTGTCCTAAAAATTTTCAATTTCTAATAGCCCAACAGACTACTGCTTAGCTGATTTAACTGTATGCAGACTTTAATTTTGCATCAGCACTACACTACCAACTTCTCATGAAGACTGAAGTAACATAGCTAAATGACAGAAATTTATGTAAATTTCCCTAATATTCCATAACAGCTTTTACTTATTTATCTGAACTAACAGTTAGATATGATCCATTAGGGTGCCAATGACCTATAAATAGATTACCTAAATTGAAGATATGTGTATCCTCTAGGGCTAGGTTGCCATCATACCCTCCATGTATGAGGATCCGATTGTTGGCCAGGGCACAAGAAGCATGCCAACTGCAAATAAACAATTAATAATCCAGTACTTCTACTTTAAGCATTCAAAATAAAGAAAAAATTATTCATATTATGTGGCAACACCATGCATTGTACAGGTGACTCCCAATAACTTTAAGTCTGTCACAGTGTGGGACCATGGTTAAACTTTCAAGTTTTCAAGAGTTCAGAAATTCCCAAGTTACTTGATCGGTTTTTAAAATTTGACTAACTGGAAGATACTGATTGTCTGTTTATAACAGTGCTAAATAATACATGTGTACTTTAACCATATTTTTTTGTGTAAATAGGTAAATATTAGGGTTGTCAAAATATTTATTTTCTTCAGTCGAATATTCGATTGCATTATTCGAATGATAGTCGAATATATTCAAAACTTTTTCGGAAACTAAAATTTCATTTCAAACTTTACTGTACATGACATATTTAACCCCAAATCCCCTTTTCTTAAATTTATTAGAAAGTAACATCAAATGTTACACACAGATGTTCACATGGAACTAACATGTGAATAGCGTGTTTATATTTACTAAATATAGACCACTAATTTCTCCAAAATGTATGATTTCCCCATCAATCATGTTCATAAATCGGTCTGTAAAGTCGGTTTTTTAGGAAGCATAAAAAAATGACAGTACATGTACTATCAAAATATCTTTAAGATATGTAACAGAATATTAATTTTATAATAATTATCGTAGTGTCCAAACATGTCACGGCTATAATGGGTACATGGTATGAAATCAAGTCCAATTATAAATGTTACAAAATTATTACAAAAACAACACATTAATCAGCTGTTAATTGACAAATAATTCTTGCAGAATTGAAGCATTTCTAATCACTGTTCTTTCTACATGTAAAGTCAGCAGTTTTTAATGAGGAAAATTATCTTACTGTGTCTGATGAAGGACGGTTTCTCAGTTTTAGGATGAGAATTCCATCTCTACATCACTTTTTTATTGAATTTATTTATTCCAATGTTGTTTCGTTTTTTCGATCGTCGGTCCATTCAACTGATAGTTGAATAGTCAACTATTTGTTGACATCCCTAGTAAATATACATCTACTGATATGGAATAGAAATAAAATAAATGTATGTTTTCATTCTATTCATTTAATATTTGTAAGAATACTTTATATTATGGTATTTTCACAAGGAAACATTATAAAGCATTTCAGTATGTATCATTCATATTTTTTTCTACCAAACACAATTAAAGTATGCAGTTAAACTGCCTTAGTGACCAATTGTATTAAGTGACTCTCTCGTAAGTGACCATAAAATCCATGTCTCCCAAGACATTACCCTATATATTGTACCTGTATTCATTCACATTTTATCACACTGAGAATAAGTACTCACAGCTGAGTAGAACTCAGGTAAATACTGGCAACCATTTGATGATAAGCATTAACCATGACCATTTAAAAATCGCAGAAAGGAGGTATTGAAAAAAGGAGATAACACAAAATACATAGTGAAAACCAATCATGGACAAGCAGTGTGAAGTCATAGCCGAAAAGCAAACAGGTTGCGAAAACAAAATCACAGAAAAGCAGGATGGCCAGTTGAGCAATTTAAATGTCCAGGTAATTAAGTCAAACTTGTTTACACACAGCCACTTCCAGGTATCAATGGAAAATTACAATAGAATATGCATAATGAAACTGCATTTTGACTTCTTGAGATCACTGAGAGTTCGAGAAATCAAGAGCAAATTTGCTTAGTTATATAGGAGGAAAAAAATTGGGAAGGGAGACTCAGTTTTTCAGAGATCTAAGGCCTAAATTAAAATATTGTTTGTTTGCCCTCAGCCGACCGACCCACAAAAATTAGCCTGACAGAAATATTTTATTGCTCTTTTCATTTACAATTTTTTAAAAAAAGAATTTCAAACCATTTTGTTTTAATCTTGTTAAAAAATTCTTTAAAGTCATTTAGATGCTTTGATTAGTACATGTAGCGTTAAAAATAGAATGTAATTGGCGAAATATGTGTTAATTCTAGAATAGCTATTTTGTATATTCAGTACATGCAGCAATATCGCCTTAGATTTTAATGCACGCAAAGGTGTGAATTCAGGGTGTGAAAGGTGTACAGGAAATCACTTCTTGCTTGAACGCACACAGCTGAAAAAAGTAGTAATGGGGGATAGAAAATAATGAATCAGAATGTAAAAGATATCAAACATAAATTATTATTAAATAAATTTAAAATAATTATCAAAATTGGAGGTGCTTTTTAAATCCGAAAGTAGAAAAAAAACATCGTTGATGAGGAAAAGTGGCAAACAAGGCTGCTGATTTTACCTTCAGATACATTAAGTCAACTCACATAAATGTAATAAACTTAAAAGTTGGATGAGAAATGGGCTTGGAAACACAGAGTATCAAGTCAAAAGTCAAATACATTAAATGATGTTCAAACTTTAAAGTTGATACCTGCACGTTCAATGTTTCTACACAAGAAAGAAGTTCTCAATAGGATTTACGTCATTTTTTTTTTTTTTTTTATAAATTTTTAAAATTTTCGATATGATGAGTTTTCACTTGATATATCATTTTCCATAGAAAAATAACGCCCTTTACATTTTTTCTAATTTCTAACCCCCCCCCCCCCCCCCCCCGATTTTTTTTTTTTTTTTACACAAATTAATACAAGCAGACAAAAAGTAAATAAACCACCTCAAGGCCTTATAAATTTTGAGCATGCAACAGAAAATATGACTATTTCTTTTTCTTTTTGCAGCATAAAGTGCCCTTCTGCCCATGTACAATCATGCATTTAGGGGAAAATCATTGTTGAACATTTTTTTTTAATAAAAGCAGGCCACATTAGTCACACTAATATTCAGAATCCTCATGTAGGTTAGATCAAATTCGGTTATGTCATGAGTCCTTAAGCCTAGGGTGGACCCAAAATTTTTCATGAGAATGTAGAAAAAATCTTTCAAAACAACCTTTTGAAGAGCAGCAATATTAAAAAGTGACTCAAATGAGCATTTTGGCAGTTATGCTTCTTTGTATAATTTTCAGGGAAAAAATTTTTTTTTTCCATACCTACCTACCCATTGTTAAAAATCTGGGTCGGAAAAGGGCAAACAAACTATTTTTTAATTTTGGCCTAAGTTTGAGCCATTGAGAGTCACCTGTATTTTGGTTTGGCTGTATTAGTTTTTTAGTCAAGATTTCAAAACTGACCTTCTTGGTAAAGGTGGAGTGCCCAGTACTTCAGGTTTAGACCATTCAACCACACCTAAAATACATATATGTACCTCATATTACCCATTTAAATTCTTTATATTGCTGAAATGCATGTAAAAACTATAGAGCAACAGTCAAATCATGAATTCATGTTCATTAGGTGTCAATTTGCCATATTAAGCACTTGTATAAAATAAGTAATTTACAGTACTGATCCCCGGGTTTGACAGATAACCAAACCATATGAGCATTTCAAATTCATACCAAAATAATAAACTTGTCATGCCTAAGCCTATAAAATTACATTTACACCACTGTGTTACATGTATAATGAAGTTCCAACAAGTAGTGATTGAAATGACTGCTGAACTTCAATTCAAACTACATTTTAATGTTTCAAATCTTAAAATTTAGATATTTTAGGTTTCTTTGGCGTATCATTGAGTATGCATGCACACACACACATGTACACTTGTATAAGGTTCTGATTATCAATTCATTAGTTTAAAAAAAAAAAAAAAAAAAAAAAAAAAAAAAAATCAATTTATCAGTAAAATGTGCATATTCGCTGCTTTTATCCTTGTTATTTTCAAGTTTCTACAAAAAAAGGGTGGGTGGGTGTGGTGAGGTGGGGTTGGAGATGTACATCTACTTAATGTGGGATTTTGAACAAAGTATTTCTTCCTGCTATAAGCCTGTAGGCTGTCAGTAGAAAGTACAATATATATATTATTGGAATTTTTCTGTTGGTAGTAGTATAAATTCAATTCCCTGTGCATGTGCGGGATTTCATCTAGTAGCTTAAAATTTAAGACATCATCATGCAATTACTATGTTTGAGAACAATTTGAAATAAACTGTAAAACAATAAATATTGTGGATAATCTAATGAAAGTTATACGGAATAGGTACAATTTATTTTATGAGTAGTGAAACCATTTGGGAATCATCTGTGAACTCACATTTTGTGTAAAGAAAAAAAATCTGCAAGAAATTCCAGGGATGTTTTAACACTTACACATGTCTAAGATATGGAGATCATTGTAACAAATAGGAGCATCCCATCCTCCAAATATGACCAGCTGGTCATTGATCATGGTAGCAGAGTGCCTAAAATATAAAATTATCTTGCAAACAGCATAAAAATGTTGTGCCAAGTCTAGTTACAGATTAAGAAATACTGATAGGTGTATATCATCAATTAGTTGTATGTGTACATATACATATATGTAATATCTTTTGCTATAACCTCATTTTTTTTCTATATCATACCCTGATCTACACAAAGGTTTCTCTCCATTGACAATGGGCTGGTACCAGTTCTCAGACACAGGAGAGAAGATGTGGATCTCATTGCTGCAACCATCTGGCTGGGGGTCTGGACGAGGATAAACACCACCAAAAATCCACAGTTCATTTCTGTATAAAGTGGCACTGTGGTATGCTCTAGTGGGGGCCTTCCCAGCCACCTGCAGGCAAAATTGTTGGTCATTCATTAAAAATAAGGTGAAATATGTTTATAGGAAATAATATTGTAAATCCACCAAGTATCCTTAATACTTGACTGGACACACTGAAATATGGATATATTAAAACAAATTTCTGGTATCCTTTGCAATTAGTTGTTAATATGTTTTAGGATTCTCCAATTAAAATATCATTCAAAGCATGTGAAAAGCATATTTGGAGCTTGACATTTTGAAGTATTGACAGACAAAACCAAATGATAGGGCAACACAGTTTCACTTCATACTATTTTAACATGAATAATTAATCCCTGTCTTCCAAGCAGATTCTTAACAGTGGCAGATCTTGAGATGCATTTTATCATGGTGTAGAAATTTTTGTGTGAACCTTGTACATAGTTAAAAGCCTCATGGAGAACCTTGTTGTTTAAATGAACACAATTATTTTTTTCAATAATTGCATACTAATTTTTATCAACCCTTTAAACTACAGTGCACAGTAATAACACACTTATAACAAAGTGCCAGAGATGGACGATTTTGTTTCCTTATAAATGTAATTCATTAAATACACTAGTCCGAAATATGACAATTTCCAGGCATTTTTCATGATTTTGGTATTTCATATGCCAGGAAAAGAACTGGTACCATTATGAAAAGAGGGAATTTGCAGCCTCTGATTGGAGACTGCATTTTCAGGTTGATTTTCAATACATGCGAACAGAATTAAATGTCTCACACCTTATCAACACTATAATGCTTCTAGTACTTACTAATATTCCTTTTTTTGTTCCTTTGTAATATAAAGTATCTGGTGAAAACATTTTATCACACTGTTGAGGTTTGTTTTGATTTCATGCAATTTGAAATCTCGCCAGACCTGTATTGAAATGTGGGGAGATATTTTCTTTTAAGTGATATTGGTCAGAACTAGAAGCATTGTGCTATTGAATAGTTGCGAGTTTGACATTTAATTCAGTTTGCAAATATTAAAATTGTGAAAAATGCCTGGAAAAAATCAATTATTTCGGACTATAAATCTGCTAACTCCATAATATTCTTTAGAGACTCGGGGAATGAATATCCCTTTGCTGTAAGGTCAGTTCATTTTAAGTTTGTTTGCAGTAAGAGTGTTTTACTATATAAAATGTTGCTTCATTTAAATATTCTACTTCAGTGCATTTTACTGAACATGTATTCCCTGTATAAAATGTTGCTTCAATTAAATATTCAGTGTTGGAGGAAGAGACTGTTAAGGAACAAAGGAACATTCCTCAGTCCATTTATCTTCATGTTACCTTAAGTAGAGTCCACTTCCACTCCTCCACATCCAGCATATGCACGTCATGGAACCACCTTTGGTTTTTAGATCCACCATATACATAGATACAGCGAAGTGTGGGGTCATAGGTGGCAGTGTGTCCCATGCGATACTCGGGTTTCTGAGACTCTGTAAACACCTCAGGACACGTCCACTTTCTTGTCACTTTTGAAGAAATCAATTGTTGAGCATATTAATTTCCCATTATTCAAGGCTAATCCAACAAATATAATTTGAGGGGGTTATAATAAAATTTATCTTTAGACACTCCCCCAAATATATACAAAGAACCCAATGCAAAGAAAATAAAATATTTTACGTCTTCTTTCCTGGATGTCTGAATGAAATTTGATACTCCCCTCATCCCACAATATTTGAGAAATTTTTAAAAGTTCATTTTACTAGTCAATAAAGATATGCATTAAGGAATAAACATAGGTGATCAAATATAACAAAACTCATCTCAATGAATTTCATCTGTAAGTAAGGCAAACCCTCATACAAAATGAATGTTCATTAAGATCAACTGGATAAATACAAATTCATCATTACCGGATTTTCATTTAACAACAAAATGTGAATGTTTTTTGGAGTATCTTGGGTAAGACAGTTAGTATGTATCTCTAGATGCATCATCTATGCATGTTTGGACAAGATACATGTAAAATGGGCCCTAATTCTGACCTGGATTCAGACACCAGACCGAGTCCTTGATTAGCTGCTGCCTCTCTCCCTGACCTCCAATAACCACAGCTGTGTTGTTGTCAGTCATACACATGCTGTGGCCCCAACGACTGCTAGGGTGGGGAGCTAAAAAGACAGAATGTTGTGGTCACTAATATATTTGTATACAAAAATGAAAACACACACCTTAAACAAAGAATTAGAAAGAAGTCAGATCACCAACTTTTATTTAATAGAGAGATTGTTTAAATTTTTGTGTCTTGATAACACTTTTTAAAACATTTTGGGGGGAAACAAGTGTATGTTCCATACTTACATAAACTGAAGTTCTGGTCCTTATCAGGCTCACATAATTTTTGTTGTTTTTTTATGATAGGGAAAATTTTTTACCGGCACTTTCTGCTACTACACCTCGCTTTTTTCTACACCTACCTCGGCTTGTCAAGTCTTTACATATAGCAACTCTCGGTTTCCCTCCTTCGATCATCCTAGTAAACTTATTGGTCTCTGGAGAAGATTTCAAGCCATTTTCTGTGGCAATATTTTCTTTGTCAGTTGTGGTGTCATTGTCTGTGTTCAAAGCCTTGCCTTTCCCTGTCCTGGACCGTTTTGGCGTAGGTCCTGTAGGAGTTTTCTCCCCTTTAGCTATACTGGATCTGCGCTTTTGTTTGACAGGTTTTGATGCATCTTTGGTCTTTCCTTTTTTAGATACCTGGTGATGGGACAAAGGAAATATAATGTATTCAACTGTAAAATTCCCAAAGAAAAAATTAATATTTTACAATTGATTAAATAATAGTATATGATGTATATGTGAACTTAGGGACATTCATTGTGCACTATATATATCTCTGCAACCTGTTTTAATCAACATTTAAATCTGACCTTAAAATTACTTCTGATCAATAATTAATTCCTACTCAGCAATAAGAAAATAGTTTCTTACAGAATTCTTGTTTTTAGCATTAAGATAATAGTTTCTAGGAGAATTCTTTTTTTTCTCCGACCAACTAGATAATCCACAAATAAACTTTTTTTTCTCCCTGAGTTTTCATTGAAATGAGCAAAAAATAATCATTCAATACTTAAACAGATCATAGTTGCTTGTAAATGCTATCAAAGTTCACCAAAAGTCTACATTCTTTAGGTTTGTTTGAATTTGTTTCTCTCATTAGGCCTTAGTTTTAAAATCATTCCCACAAACTTTGAAGTCTATTTTATATGTCAATGCTTATACGGGCTCCTCTACCTTTGGTGTGGATTCATTTATTTCCTTGTCCGATGAATTCTCTTTTTTAACTTTGGCAAGGTCTTTTTCATGCTGACTGTCTGTAGAACTTGTGATGAATTCTATACAAAGCTTTGCCATGCCTTGTTCAGCCTCAGAAGACATGATACTTGGAACCTCACAATGCTTTCTTTCCCAGCACAGAGCCCTTATTATGTATAAATTCAATATTAATTTCATCAATAAAAACACTGAATAACAATCTCACTGTAAATTTGGAAATTTATGTATGGGGACTGGGTAATTTGCAGTAAGAAATCTTTCACACAAATATACTCTAGATTGTTACTGATACTTGTATACATGTTAAAATGGATTTGCTGAAATACACTCTCCCATTCTTTGGTTGTAAGTATTGGAATTAATGTTGCAGCTGTTGCAGAAAAAATACATAATCCACCTAAGCAGGTTATGCCAATTTTTTTTCTGCAATAGCTGCAACATTGATTCCCATGCCAGAGCTCTTGATTTTCTTTAATCGGGGCCATTCATAGGCCCCATTCCTAATTTAAAAAAAGTACCCTTTTTTCAAAACTGAATATGTGTGTGTGTTTTTAATTTTTTTTTTTATTTCACCTTAATCAAAGGTCACCAGTGACCTTTAAGTAGGATGCGAAACACACCTACTACCTAAAATGCATTAATTGACCAAGTTTGATGATTCTAGGTCTAATAATTTTCCACTTATGAGCTGGACAAGATTTTTCCATATTTGGAAAAACAGTCAAACCTCGTTATCTTGAATTCGATGGGACCGAGAAAAAACATAGAGATATCTGAGATCCATTTAAGATATCCGGGGTAAATTACTTATAAAATAAGTGGTGGGACTTCCAAATCACTTCAACATATCCATGGTATTCGAGATATCAGTGTTCAAGATATCGAAGTTCAACTTAATTATCATCTTAATAAAAGTCAGAGTGATCTTCTTTTAAAGTGTGACACACTTTCTTCCCAAGATGTATCAGCTGTTGAAGTTTGATTATTCTAGACTTCATAGTATTTGTTGTGAGCCTGACATGAAAAAGCTACTGAAAGACATAAACACCATAACATAATACATCTTATCTTAAGATGGGCCTATAAAAAGTGGATTAATTATAAATTTTTAATTTACTATTTTGAAAAAACAAAATCTGCATGAAACAAAATATTAATCAATAAAAGACTACAATTAAAATCATTTACCAAGACTCACCTGGTTTGCTCTGTAAACATTCCCAAACTAAGATGCACATCTTTGTAAGTTAGAGCAACTTCAACCTCAAGTTCTCCCACCTGACTCGGCCATTTACCCAGTCCAAATATTATTAGCTGTTCTGGAACAGGGGTGGGAATGTACTGAGAGTATATGCCTTCTTCTCGTCTAAAACAATATTGATACATTACACTACTGGATATGCAATCAAATTGTCTTCACTGCAGGATACGATGCAGTTATGCAATCAAAAAGTCAGTATTTGTATTTAGGTGTTATAAAAAAAATATGTTAGGTTACGGTTACCCGGCTCACCCTAATATATTTAATCGTCGACCCAAATTTTTTTCATCATAAAAACCCTGGTCAAAAATCCCCGTCAATACTTCATACTATGGTTCATTTCTATAGGAAATCATAGTAGAACAAAGTATTTGAAGCAGACTATTGCTGGAACTCTTCGACATCAGAGGTTTAAACAAATATAGGTTGGATTTAAACCTTTGCAAGGTAAGAAACAAGTTTTATAATGATAGGGAGTTAAAAGGATGTCCAAAGCAAAAAGTTGAAGAGGGCAGGGAATTCATTTCAGCCTGTATTGATTGAAACAAGCAGTCGAAGTCTGGGCAAGATTTCCTGAGTCACTTTGTGTGGCACTGGTTTGAGATACGGAAGAGAGGTCTGTTCAAATTTTTTTTAATCTCAACGAATCTCACTGAGATTAGCACTGAATAAACAGTGCAGCTAGTCAATGTTGCCACCGCTGGGCATATTTATTTTTTTTTGGTGAGGAAAAAAGGGCATGGCACTGGAAAAAAGGGCATGGTGCCAAGAAAAAAGGGCATGACACTGCGCCATGCAAGTTTAAATTAGATTTAACACTACTTAAGGCTAAGCATGACTTTTTATGAATAATTTTACAAACTATATCAGACTTGTCAAAATTTTTAAATCATTGTCAGACATTTGGTCTGACAAAGTCAATTGTTCTGTCGGACCAGTCAAAGTTTTCTCAGACCAGATACATGTACCTTATTTTGACGCTGTGAAAGTGATATGAATAACAGCATCAAAATGCCCTGGATTATTTTCAACAGCCTTCAATCTTACAAGTTTCCTTCCTTGGGATAGAAAGTCTTTAATACTGAGCGCAGCGAGCGGCGCAAAGCGCCCCTCGTCACTGCAAGCTCTAACGACAATGCCTGGGCGAAGAGAAAATTGGACTACTGCACATTCATTCAATAGAATTTTTTTTCAGCAGTATTTCTGGACCCACAATGCATCGCTTGTTGTTCTGGCTGTTAACTACGTTCGTGCGGTAACAACAACTAAAAATTCACAAAAATAAATTCACCTTAATTTAATGGATATTGATGTAGATAGTAGATTAAACGTTCTTTGTTAAAATTTTTGCACATTTCAAATTCCGTTTATGGAAATGCACCAAACATACGACATCATATGACGCCAAAGTCTACACGTTCCAAATGTCTCATGCAGTTTGAAGAGGCGGATCTTAAAACTAAGTGAGCAATGCGCTCGCCCCAACGGTCGCACCGTCAACATATTAAAAGATATAAATGACATGTTTTATGACTTTGCTATAACAAATTTAATTGGCTATCGTCAACATGCCACGTACGCGGCCATTTTTTCTGTGTTTGTGACCTTCAGCTGCGCATCCCGATCCCGACCTTTATTAAATTTGCATCACGCTCAATTTTTTCAAACGGTCATCTGGACCGACGTTTTTTTAAAAGTTGTCGGTCCAGACAAATTTTTACCGGCCTTGCCGACAGGACCGACGGATTTCAACAAGTCTGCTATATGTACTTAAATATTTAGCCAAACCAAAAATGTTTGTATCAATAGTATTTGTTGCACAGGTATATGCGATAATCATCAATAGACCGTAATTTGATGATCGACAAGAGCTCCAGACAAGGAACCTAGGGATATAAGGTATACATGCAGACTAGGAACTAGAAATGTCAATCAATTTCCAGTACCCAACCCTGGACTTTAATTCACTTGATTAACAGGGGACCCTAGACCAGGTAAATTTGGAGGAGGTACTTATTTTCTCTGCATCTAATGGCCTTCACCCCCGAAGACCTGGCAGACCTCTAACCCAGGCTTTTTTTTTAGGGGTCATAGGGGGCCTGTATTCTGCCCCACTCCCAATGGTAAAAAGTTTTTTTTGTGTTTTTCCCAATTTCATATTAAAAAGAATTATTATCAAAAGACAAGGGAAACGAATATGGTTAAAAAAATGTCCGAACTCAGTAACATGCATATCAGGAACATAGGCGTCGGAATTGGGGGGGGGGGGGGGCTAAGGTGGGCTTGGCACCCCCCCCCCCCCCTGGGCACCCCCAGATTTTTAAAGAAAATTTTACAAATAATTTGGTACTAAAAGACGTTCGATCTCCCCCCGCAAATGGAAAGGTCCATGCCCTTGATTTAAAATCCCTGTAACCTGTCACTTTCAAGGCATGACACAGCACCAAATGCAACAGGACAGAGAAAAATTCGTCAGACCAGGCCAGGATTTGAATCTTTGTCTGGTACGTCGCATTTTTTCCCTCGCCGGTGAGATAATATAGGTCCTAAATCAAAATACAATTCGATGGAAAACAACACCAGACGATAAAAGCAGCTGATAAGTATTTATCAGTGTTTATTTATTATCAGTCAAGATTTTATGGCCTTGATTTCTGAACCCTTCTTTCTCCAATAGCCTACTTCGTGTTTGTGCCAATAAATATTTGTATTGTATGTTAGAATAAATTCTATCAATTGAACTGACAAATTACTCACCGCGGTAACTGCTTAGGATGATCGTTAACATTCGATATGCAAAATACGTTGAATTCTTCCATTGTTAGATTTTACGCAAGATTGTAAATGGCGCTAAAAGTTGGCGCAAAACTCGGTTGGAAATGGAGTCGAAATAATTTTTCGGATAAAATTGGAAAAAAACAAAGTACCTCAGGCCGTAGGAAGGAAATTCAGTTGGGGGGGGGGGGGGGGGCACAGCCATACATTTTCAGTTGACAGTTGAGGGGGCACTACCAAAACTTTCCGGACAAGCAAAAAAAAAAAAAAAAAAAAAAAAAACCAGACGTTTCTAGGCTAATTGTATTCGGCGCGTCGGCGCGCCAGCGCGTCCATCTCAACCCGATATCACAAAAGTATTTTCTCCCTGCATTAAAACACTCAAATGACATCGATTTTCTTTATAATTTAAGCATTATCGGTTATATTCAAGTCGACAGCCCGAGCCCGATTGTATTTTTTTGTTGAGTGGATCCAGAAATTTTTCCCTAGGAGGTGTTGGCTCAAATCGCAAGGGGAAGAGGTCCAAGGCAAAGCTTTAGTAATTTTACTATGTCAGTTCAAATAAATTTGAATTTTTCAGGGATCCGGATCCCATTTGATCCATGCATGCCTTACCACAATTTGTGCTAGAGTAATCCGAAATACCCCAATTTTTTGAGTTGGCCTATACTTTCGATTTCTCTCTCTCTCTCTCTCTCTCTCTCTCTCTCTCCAAACATTAACTATATACATGTATAGCATTTAAAAATATTTAGTGCTTTGGTTTTTATAAATTTTCTTTATGTATAACAAAAATTTACCGGTATTACGTAATGACCCTAGACATTAACTATATACATGTATAGCATTTAAAAATATTTAGTGCTTTGGTTTTTATAAATTTTCTTTATGTATAATAAAAATTTACCTGTATTACGTAATGACCCTAGACTCTAGAGTTTAACCCCCTTTTTAGAGACTTGATTATCATGGCAATAAGCTGCAAAACATTGGTATCAGTGTTTGACAAATATTCCTTGTTACGTATTAAAATATTACTACTACTAAAAATTAGCTTGTTCTTTATTTGAGCAGGGGGAGTAACTTTAGTTACAGATACATAAAGTCCTGCCTCCCCATATTGTAGTCTTCTCAACCACTAAGCTCATTACAAATCCAATCATATAAAATACATCTACAATGGTTCCATCAACATTCCTTAAACATTAATTTTTTTTTTTTTTTTTTTTGGTTTGTTTTGCAGAGTGAAAATTAAAATAGAATTTGATGGTCATTAAAGTAAGAAGCATACCAAAAAGGTTTATGATGACCTGTGTTTACGAAATACTGAATCATTCGCTGATTGCACAAAAATTGATGCCAATGAAAATTGATAAAACTAGTGTATTAATTAGTGGATAAAAGAATATGAATAAAAGAAACAACAGGCGGTTAAATAATGGTATCAGGTTCGTTCGCCCTATCTACCTGTTCGCATGAATCCGTTCGCGCAGGGTCCGTTCGCCATTATTCTTGTTCGCCCTATATCTCGTTCGCCCTATTATATATACAGTATATAGTAAATATCAACATTTATTATTAATTTTATTAAATATTTTACTTGGTGTTTTTTTCAAATGTTGCTACAGTATTTTTTTTTATTAACCGTAATCTTAATGAAGTAATTCAAATTTGATATTTATGCTCTTTACATGCTTAATTGATTTAATTATACTTAATAATGTCACTGTAATTTAGGGGATCATACAATCTGCGTTATGTTCAATTAAAGGACTGAGATGTTAATTTCTGTTGGTCTGCTGGGTCTTTGATTAGTACAGGTATAAATTACCGGTATAGTGTGACCACATGCATTCGTCTGTTGTCTCCCGTGTGCAATTTATGTACCAATGTACATATAATTTATTTAAAAAATCCATTGGTTAATTATTCAATTTCTGCAATATAAATAAGGCGAACAGACCCTGTGCAAACAAGTGATGTTGAAGCTTCAAAAACAAAATTCCATCTATAAAACTTTCTCTTTTTAGCCGAGCGCATTGCTCGTAGAGCAATAGCCGGTTTATGTTACGGTGTTCAACCGGAAATACTGCTTCCTCACCGCCAAATTAAATATGAGTAAGAATAAAGTACGTATGCTCAACCACCTTTGAAGCAATACAAACACTTAATTAAACAAATTTAATTTAACTAAGAAATTCTAAAAAAAAAAAAAAAAAAAAAAAAAAAAAAAAAAAATTGATAATATACTTTCTCCCCTTTTCTTCAATAAATTATTTGTTTAAAAGATGCGATAGGTAATTTCATCAAGTCTGCCAGCTTCACATTCTATAGATAAAGGTTGTGTTACCAGGCTAATGCGGGGAGCATGTGACCCGATGCACACCTTTATGCAAAACTCCCCGCTGATGACCCGTCTGTGTATAAACGTTTGACCTTGCTGCATCAATGTAAATTCAAACTGCATTTTATTTTATTTTATCTTTTAAACATTTTTTTATTTATACTATATGCCATAAATATATTTTTGTGTTACATATTCTTCCAGTGTCTTGTTGTTTTTCATCTGTAATTACAATGTATGTTTCATGTAAAACGGACTTGTTCACTTCTCTGTAAATGAGCCCGGCTCTCTGTACTTCTCAGTACTTTGATTATTTATGATATCGAGCCCGATGCTAACAATATTGTATAAGCGATAATTTATTTTATAAACAAAATCTGTTGCGCGAGCGCGCCGACGCGCCGAATACAATTAGCCCGTTTCTATTGAGGGGGCACAAGCATATAGTATCTAAGTTTACTATAGCAATCTATACAATGCTCACAAATATGTCTCTGAATTCATAAAGTAATGGGTATATATTTAAGGTAGTACAAAACACCCATGAAATGTTTTAACTAATATTTCTTATAAGTACACTAGAAAAAAAAGAATAATATCACATGTCAGCAATCAATGATCTTTGTAAGGAAATAATTAACCTCTGATATTTTTTCATTTCTTATAATATCATATATTATCATTCGACAACCTAAATTTGTCATCTAACATCTTACATGCGATCTGACAGTCTATTATTAAATGCAAAGTAGCTTTTAATATCGATTTATGGTAGAGACCAGATATTTGGACATATTTATAAAGAGTTTCCATTCTATGTACACAATAAAGGTCAAGGTCATATTTAGAGGTCAAGGTCAAATATCATGACGTCATCTACTGATTCTTTTGAATTTTTGCATTGGGTATTTTTTTTTCAAATCGGCAAAATATCTGAAACTGTCGGTTCAATGTTCCTCATTTTGACACATTTCAGTCTGGGTTCTATTTCAATCAATCTGTTGATTTTTGTAAAAATTGAATTATACATTATCTCTTACATACTTGCATGTGAATTTTCAATTCCTGGGCTCTGTATGTTCTATTTTTTCATCACAATTTAGTTACATATACCGGTATCAATATAAATGTATTTATTGAAAGTTAGTAACAGAAAGGTTGTATTTATAAAAATCATCACACAAATGTGCAATAGAGCAATCAGTAAGTTAAAAAAAATGCCTATTATAAAGTACAACGTCTGATTTCACAATCTTCTTACAGAGGTGAATAGGGCATATTTCAAACTAGGTTGGCAAAACACGTGCGGTTGAATTTCTTACATATAAAGAGAGATTTTGTATAAGAGAAAAATTTTTCAAAGTTTTAAACTAAACGATACTTCTAACTGTTCAGCACTAAAGTAATAAAAAGCTTGATACAAGAAAATATTTTATTGCATATTTAGGCTTTTAATACCCCAAATAAGATACTTTTGGTTCCATACTTTTTAGTGCAAAAAGGTCACACAATAATTTATGCGCATTAATTTGCTTGATTTGTCCAATGATAAATATTATTCAAAGTATTTTATGTGAAATATATGGAGATAACGAACAGTATTCAAGCTCAAAAGTCCATTAAACAATACAAATCTGAGAGCAGAGCAAACACGGACCTCTAAAACATCAGAGGTGGGGTCAGGTGCCATGGAGGAGTGAGCATCCCTTGACGTAAAATAGGATTGTATTTATTGCCATGATTACAAGGTATATCTGGTATGATTAACAAAAGAGTTACAATTTAAGTGCAAAAAGGTCAAGTTCATTGTACCGTTGCCGAATAAAATGCATACTGACCCCCAAATTTTCTTTGCGATTTTGAGTCATGCTTTATGAGTACTTATCTAAAATATACCTCAATTAATCCTTCCTTGATATAACTAATTTCACGAGTGACATACCTTAATTTTTAAAGTTCTGTTAGCGTGTTGTATGTTACCGCAACCCATGTCAGGCCCGTAGAAAGCAACTTCAGTTGGGGGAGGGCACAGCCATACATTTTCAGTTGGGGGGGGGCTATCAACTACCAAAAATTCCTTGACAAGCAAAAAAAAGGGGGGGTCACCAGTCGTTTGTATTGAGGGGGCACAAGCTATATAGTAGCTATGTTTTCTATAGTAATCTATATATCGGAAAAATTATGGGGGGCACGCCCCCCCCCCCCCCGGTTCCTACGGCCATGCATGTTGTGAACAAAGAGCCGTCGCGTAGTTGTTGCTAATGCGCTTATGATCCTTTGGTCCATACTTTTAAATATTCCGGATCTCACGATTCGAACCTCCCTACTTTTACCACCCGCCTCGATAAGCTGGTTCCCAGTAAGAGTATTGAAAACTAGCACTATTACTTGGAAGACTAGACAAAATAAGCACCAAATCACAGAATTTTCATCTGAGGCAACTTCAAGAAGGTTCAAGATGACGCTGAAAATTCACATAGTTTATTGGTTTGTATAATTTACTTTTTAACCAGCTGATAATTTTCTTTTATACAATTGTTATCGATTCACAATTAAGATAGGCCCTAATCAGCTAATATGAGGGACCTATATATACTTAGTATATAGGTCCCTGCTAATATTAACACCTAACAACCTAAGTTATGTTTTGATAATATTTTCAACTGGTAAATGAAAATATACTGTATATATTTACAATGATATGCATTTTCATAAAATAGTTTACATTTAAGATTGCTCTGTTAGTGCTTTTGAAATAAGCCAGAAAAATGAATAGTTATGTAACTCATAAGACTGTCATAAGGACGTCCTTGGCTTTGAGATGATTGAAACAAGAGGCTCATGGGCCACAACGCTCACGTGAGTCATGGCCTTGCTGTTCTTCAGCAGCTAATTTTTTCCCTATATATATATTCCTATGTAAGTCTTTGATCACCTATTGTGGACAGTTACACATAAATACAAAGTCAACATTCTAACTGTGATGTCAAAAAGCTCTAATATTAATTTACGCATTAGCAAAGTTAATTATGACGTCATGACATAACGTAAGTAATAGGGGTGAAACGATACACCTCCTTCACGGTTCGATACGTATTGTAAAATTTTGTCTCGGTTCGGTTATTTTTGATACGATACATTTTCATAGAAGGAAACTAATTCAACGTTGTTTTATGCTTTCTTTTTCTAAATCTAGTCAGATATTTTACGAATTTTATTTGCAAATTGACTAGAAGAAATTGATTACAATTATTTGACTGTCAAAAATTATTTTACAAGCTATCAGTCATCAAAAATTTACGTTTTCTATACTTATTTATACTGAATAACGTGTTTACCTTATGCCAAACCCGACTGAATAACGATCCCGACCGAAAAATGAACCGAACCGAAAATTAGAGATTTTGCACCGTGTATCAAACCGAGAAAAAATACCGCGGTGTATCGATACCGCGGTGAACCGTTTCACTCCTAGTAAGTAATTTAATACGGGAAATTAAAATTTTTCATACAAATAATAGAGATATATATTGCGCAAAAAAAGTATATATCTGATACAAAATATAATTATGTCGCATTTAAAACAGGTTTATATCTGTTAATAAATTTGAAAAAATGGAAGTTAAAATTGACATAATTGGAAGAGATGGGATGGACACCTGAAATGCTTGTGTCTCTTGCTGATAGCTAGAAAGTAGAGACTCCTAAAACCATACTCTCTCAATGTTAGTAATTTTAGTTAACTTTTTACAAAATAAATATTTTGTGGAGAACCTATATTGAAAGCAATTATTATTGTGGTGTGATTAGTTAGAATCTAGCTTCCATTTTTCCTGCATATGCATGTATTCTGAAAAAGAATGACCAGTAGATGTATATGGACCAAGATGACACCAACATGAACACAAAAAAGTGATTCTATATTGATAAAGCATTTGATGTGCTTTGCAAAGTACTGTCATACTATGATAAAGCTTTTTTTTTTCAGTGGTGCATGAGGATATGCCCCCAAGGTAAGAATGTTCTATCATGTGTAAAATAGATAACAAAATAAAAAAAATGTTCATACATTTATGAAAGGCACTTTATTCAGCTTAGTTCCTTTATTCTTTAACTTTACAACAATCAGACAACACAATTTTATGTATTAGTCCAGTATTGTGCATGAACTAACTTTTGTTTAATTTGTTTTTTTCAAACTCATGAATTTATTCAAGTAGTTGGGATTTTACAAATCCCTGGGTGCAGGATTATTGTTTCTTGCATTCACACACATACAAACACACACACACACACACACACCCTCTCACACCCACACACACACCCTCACACACACACACACACACACAGAATACTAAGAGAAGGGGAAAAACATTACTCTGAGCTATACTAACTCTAGACTAATCAATTTAAAAAAGTCTTAAATTATACTTAAAATGTAGTGAATTGCAGCTAAATATTAATATTGGTAAGCCAATTTATTTTTACATCTGCTAAAAGTACAAAACATTTTGCCTGGTAAAAAAATATATCAATTTCATTTCCAGTTTCGCAAAATTAAAGCGGAACTTGAGAAAGAATTTGGCAATGAGTTGGAAATAGTAAGTATCAATTGATTTAACCTGTCTTTTTATCTAGTCCCTTTGTTCAATCAAATCTAGCTTCAGAAAGTGACCAAAATTAAAAAATATAATAAGTTCATTTAATTTCTTGTGCATTGGAATTTCCTTAGTTTTCTGGAAATAATTATGAGGGGAAATAAATTACTCATATATACATTTTACATTGTATTTAAATCATTTTTAAGTCTGTCTGGTGATTTTTATGATAAAAATTCCTATGAAAAAATAGTTTTCTTAATTTTATTCTTTTGTTCTTATAACATGAAATATTTTTAAACATAGTAGTGTAAGATAACAGTCAAGATTTTCCTGTTTTTTTATCAGACAGGAGAGGGAACTCCAACCACTACAGGTTGGCTGGAGGTCCAGATTGTAGGAGGGGAACTTCTCCATTCCAAAAAGGTATTGTAATAGTGATTTTTTTGAAAAGTTTTTTTTTTCACATCTACTATATGCCCCTGCATGCTTCTTGCCTATAGAGGTATCCCTGTCTGTCCTTTCAAATCTTGAAAGATAAATTCCTACCCCATCTGTGACTTAAAAATGACAAACATTTAATCTCAAATTCAACATTTTAAAAACATTTAAACAAGCCCTTGTTTAGATATAAAGTTTTATTTCTTAAAGTGGATTTTAAGAGCACCCCAATTTCAGTGACTTCAGCACTTTTCGGGTAGTAATTTTTTTTTAAAAAAAAGAAGATTTTTTTATGTGATGAATAAATTAAATTATACTGTATCATTACATACATTGTTCCTGTGTGTTGTGAAATCTGTATAACTGAACGAGTTTTAACAGAATGGGGATGGATATGTTGATACTGATGCCAAGATGGAGAAGATCAAGGCAGGTGTCAGGAAGGCTTTAGGAAAATAGAGGGCTTGTTACATGTAGTGGTAAGCTATAGACATTACTCTATAGATTATTTCGACATAAAGGCACTGACAAATGGTAAATATATGTTTAAATATGTACATTATCATTTTGCAGCTGATGAGAAGTGGTGGAGAAATAAAGAAGAATCACCCATGAAGGGTCACAACAAAAATGACAAATATGTCATGCTGTGACCTGGAATAACTAGCTAGGAATAACTAGAGAAGAATCTTTGTTTCTGCACCACTGAACATCTACACTACTGAATTTGAAAGATGCTATGCCACGATGACATTATCCTCAAGCTTTTCATCATTTAATAGGTGCTCTTCTAGGATTGTTTTTATTGTTTTATTTGTTTTTATATTTTCCTTTTACTATGTATGACTCCCTGTACAAGTGTAAAACTCCTACTTGGAATCTCAGGAAAACCTATTATCTGCTATGATTATTTTGATGATTATGCTAGATACAAATCTTTGGTGTTTTTAACTGGCAGTTTTTTTTTTTATGGTAAAATTTGATTTTGACTCTTGTTATTTCCCATAAAATAAAAAAAACAACATTTTAACAGATATATTGATTTTCAGAAATTAAACTCATTCCAGGTTGTACTATGTTCTGAGCTTTGTGATTTTTTTTCTTAATAGGCTAGAAATGGGAATGGGATATTGTATCTTTTTAGTTTTTATTTGACCTTATTAAAGATTTTTAAATTGAACTCTGTAGTGTCTGTGTGAGTATGTATATACCGGGTATATATAACATTAAACAAGTCAATGTAACACAAACTCCCATGTCAAGTTTATATGATACAAGGCATGAAAACATGATGATAAATGAAGTTTTATTGGTATTGAACCACATCATGTGAATATCTGTCTTTACCAAGAGAAATTTAAAGTTTTGTTTAGTACTTGAAATTTTCCTTTCCGCTGAAATTAATTTCATTGAGTAGGACTAATTTGCAAGAAATAACAAATTCCCACAAATTTCATATTTCAAGATGTACGTGGCATGCCAAATTAAAAAAAATGAGCGAAGTAAAGTTCCACCACAGTTTATCGTCATACACTGTAAATCATATTCATTAACATTAGTAAAGAACTGTTTGATATTACATGTAATAGTTTATGAATATGTTAGAAATTATTTACAATCTGTTAATTAACTATACATGTAGTTTTGACTAAGTTGAGTCGTGAACAAAAAGTGCAGCTCAGTACAAAACTAGATACTGTCATAAGACAGTAATATGACTTCTAAATGTACTCTTGTGTGTACCTGGTTTTTTAGTGAAGAAGCCCAATAGCTATCATAAATACACGTATCGAATAGAGAAAATATTCCGGTGAGCATGTCGCCCATGGGCCTCTGAAATTAATATTTCATATAATAAATTCATTACCAGTCTGAAATAAAAGAATTTAATGAAGCAGAATTCTGTTTAAAAAGGAGTTTTGGAAAGGAGATTTTTGGTACGAAAAACAATTTTTCAATTTTCGATCCCCCTTTCCCCAATTGGTCTCTCGAATGAAAATCTGCAAACCTAATTGCGTATCTACAGGACACCACCAATCATATTCCAAAAGATGACTTGGCTACTGCGTAAAATATAACACGTTAGAAGGAGTTCTGAAAACAGGGTTGTTGTTTTTTTTTGTAGAAAAATGTCATTTTTCGACCCTGTCCGCAATTGGCCCCCAGTTGAAAATTGCGAAACCTTAATGCACATCTAAGGAACACCACCAATCATATTCTAAAAGATGATTTAACTAGTGCATAAAATGTACCTGAAAATCACTTTTTTGAATTAAAAAAAATGATCCTAAATGTGAATTTGAGAATCTAGAATCAAAATTGTCATTTTCATAGGAGAGGTCAATTTTGGATTAAAAATTGACATTTTTCTACAAAAACCATGTTACCAAGCAGAACTCCTCTTACATTTTACGCATGTCACGCCACCCAGCTGGGAAAGTGGTAAAAAAAAAAATCAAAATTAGGTGCAGAATAATGATGAAAAGTTTGTGGACATATTATATGGAGAGGACTTGTATGGGCAGTGCCTGTTCTCTAGACTAATCCTTTTATGTTTCATTCATAATAAAGTATTGTTTGAAAAAAAAACAGGCCCGTAGCAACGGTTTTAAAAAGGGGGACCTCCCAAAGAAAATATGACAAGCAAAAAAAAAAACGTCTAAAAAAAGTGGGGGGGGGGAGCCGACCTCCAAAAAAATTTGACAATCAAAAAGAACAAAACAAAAAATAAGATCCTATTTCGTGGGGGGGGGGGGGGGGGGGGGGGGTGGAGGAGGGTTGGACCAATCTCTTATTTTTTGATACATTTCTTTTTTTAAAGAATTTGCCAGTGCTCGACCTTACAGCAAAAACAAGAGATCCATGGACCACATCGCTCACCTGAGCACATTGGCTAAGCAAAAACACAAATCAGTTCAGTATTGAAAAATTTACATCGGACGGGATTGAATTTTAAACTACCTGAGGATGCTTCCATATCAATTTAACAAATGGCTTTGCTGTTTTTGAGCAGAAAATTTTTAAAGATTTTTACCTATATATTCCTTTGTAAAAATTTGATCCCCAATTGTGGCCCCTCCCTACCCTGTGGGTCATCTTTTAACAAACTTTAATCTACACTACCAGAGGATGCTTCTACATCAATATGACTAAACATGGCTTTGCTGTTCTTGAGAAGAAGATTTATTTCCTTTACGTTCCTATGTAAAGCTTTGATCCCCATTGTGGTCACACCCTACCCCTGGGGGTAATCATTTCAACAAAATGAATCTACATATACACTACCTGAGGATCCTTCCATATCAATATGACTAAACATGGCTTTTCTGTTCTTGAGATTTTTTCCTATATATTCCTATGTTAAACTTTGATCTCCAATTGTGGCCCCACCCTACCCCCGGGGGTCATCATTTGCACAAAATTGAATCTACACTACCTGAGGATGCTTCAATATCAAAAAGACTAATCATGGCTTTGATGTTCTTGAGAAGAAGATTTTTAAAGTTTTTTCCTACATATTCCTATGTAAAACTTTGATCCCCCATCATGGCCCCACCCTACCCCCGGGGATCATGATTTGAACAAACTTGAATCTACATTATGTAAAGAAGGTTTTTACTATAAGTTTCAACTTCTGGGCCCATGAGTGGACTTGAATCCCCTTCACCCAAGGATGCTTTGTGGCAAGTTTGGTTGAAACTGGCCCAGTGGTTCTGGAGAAGAATTCGAAAATGTGAAAAGTTTACAGACGGACTACAGACAAAATGTGATCAGAAAAGCTCACTTGAGCTAAAAAAAAAGGGGGGGAGCAACCAGCTTCTAAATGAAAATTTTCTCTAGCATGCCCCCCCCCCCCCCCCGGCCCCGCAATCTACGGGCCTGAAAAAACAAAACATATCTGTATTTACAGTCGATTTGAATCTCTTGCAAGCATGGTTTGGCTAACGGAAGTTCAGATAGGTCTGGTTAAATGTGAAGTTGGAGGCAACAACTGGTTGCTGTGCAGTTCGTTTCACATGTTTCCACCCTGTCATTTTGTCTTAAGGAACTGGAAGGGTTGCCGACCGTCCTCGTAATGTATGTTCGCGCGTAAAAGGCGCGTCAAGAGAAAGCTACAATTCATTTTATCACCCGCGTACCACTGAAAAAAATATTAATACAATAGGCAATAAAAATCGTCACATTCTCCCCAAAAACTGGAAGAAAGTTGTTATTGATAGCACACAGTCCCAAATGTAGCCAGAATCTTGCAAACCATGACATTAAGGAAGGGGGGATAAGCACTGTCTTCAAATTTACCTGTCTGTGAACCCCTGTCAATCAGCTGAAATTAAGCCTTGGATTGGGTCATCCATGACATTTGTTTCAAGTCGTTGTGCACATTCTACTGACATCCGTATAGTTAGCTGCAGAACTGTAGCTCTATGGTTGAAATGTCTGCAATTTCTCAACCAGAGAGCTACAGTGCTGCTGCGAAGTCGACATTTGTCCCCAGTCAAAATTCTTGGGGACTAAGTGGACAGAAGGCGAGAAGGCATTGAAATACATGTACATGTACCACGTTACTTCTGATCAACTAAGGGCTGCCTTGTTGAGGAGTGGAATACTAATAAATGTAATATTTCCACGGAAAATATATGCTTGCATGATAATCATGGAATTGTTGTTCTTGGAAAGGATTTTTTTTTTTTAAATCCTCAATACATTCCTTTGTAAAACTTTTCACTATTTCTTAATTATCTCCCCTTAGAAGAGAGTATGGTTTTTCACTTTTTTATGCCCCCATATCGAAGATTCGAGGGTATATAGTTTTTGCCCTGTCCATCCGTTTGTTTGTCCGCAAAAACTTTAACATTGCTCATAACTTTTGATTGGTTGGAGCTATGGCTTTCATACTCCACTTGTGTATTCTTTTGACAAGACCTTTCTTTGGGCACCATCATATTTGACCTTGATCTTGGAGTTTGACCCAGTTTTGCAAAAATTTACCCAACTTTAACCTTGGCCATAACTTCTGAACAATTGGTGCTAGGGCTTTCATACCTTGCATGTGTAATCCTTGTGACAAGACCTTCCTTTGGATTTCAATAACTTTGACTCTTTGACCTAGGAGTTTGACCCACTTTTGAAAAACATTAACCTTGGCAATAACTTTTGAAAGGTTGGTGCTAGGGCTTTCATTCTTTACATATGTAATCCTTATGACCAGACCTTCCTTTGGATACCAATAACTTTGACTCTTTGACCTCGACCTTGGAATTTGACCCATTTTTGGTAAACTTTTACCTTGGCCATAACTTTTGAACAGTTGGTGCTAGGGCTTTCATATTTCACATGTGTATTTCTTGTGAAAAGGCCTTTCTTTGGGCACCATTAATTTTGACCATTTGAACTTGACCTTGATGTTTGACTTACTTTTGAAAAACTTTAATCTTTTCCGTATCTATTTAATGGTTGCTGCTAGGGCTTTCGTATTTCACAGGTATATTCCTTACTTTGGGTACCAACATATTTGATTTGCATTTGAGAAAGTTTAACCTTTGATATGAGTTGCCATACGGGGGCATCAGTGTTTCACAAACACATCTTGTTTTTTATATATAAGGTGAAGATAACGAACAGTGACCGATCTCATAAATGTGCAAACAATACAAATTTGTGAACAGGGCATAAACCACGGACCCCGGAAATTCCAGAGGTGGCATCAGGTACCTAGGAGAAGTAAGCATTCCCTGTTGACCTGTCACACCTGCCGTGAGCCTTGTGTATTGATCAGGTAGTTTCTGAATAAATTCTTCTTCATAGGAATGTAAAAACAGGTCGGCTAATAAAAGTGCCAATCGGAATTCCCACATTGGTCTCCGAAGCTATACTACATAAATGTTGTCAATGAGGTACTCCAGTACCTTTTAATATCAACTCTACAGTAAGTTTTGTAAAGTAAGTGATTTTTAGCAAAATAATTTTGTTAATGACCACCAATCACAAGATCCTAAAATTTCCGAGCTCTATTTTCATTGAAGAATCAGTTGTCTATTAATATTGAAAAGCTTAGTTTTTAATTTATTGTGAGGAATGGTTGTATAAATTTAGAAAAGTCATACATATTGATGTTATTGACTTAAGAAAAAAAAATGGTGATTATAATTTTTTTTTTCAAAAACTCTTTGGAGTTTTTGAGAATCCACATCTGATTTACACCACTTCTAGAATATGCTGTACAAGCACGGTACGCCGGTCTGAAGTTTCTCCTTTATTGCAGTTAATATTTCTGCATGGAGTAAAGAGGGGGCTTGGAGCATTTGTTAGACCCGGCAATGTATTTCTGTAAGGATTTTTATGAAGTTAAGGAATCCAGTATAGGTAGGGTAGATCGAACTCATCTTAAGCTTTGTTGACTGGAATGTAAAAGTTTTGAACACTAAAATGTGAGTTTGAAGAATTTCATCCTTAGAAAGTGAACCCTAAGTTATATATAACTTGGATTTCCAGACATAGAATTAAATCCAAGTTCTTCTGAAATCAGTAAAACTGTTATAACAATGAGCTTTACAAACAAAGACGATCTATTGTTACAAGCCCTGTCTGTTGGGACCATAACACATTGTTCATGTAGTCTTTCTAATTTTTTAATCACCGACGATTCAGTGAAAACGGAGGGATAGATGGCTCGCACATTGCCTTTTAACTTTCTAATGGTTATACGGCTCTTTAATATATTTCTAAAAGACATAATCCATTCTAACAAAGTGTTAAGGTCTTCCCTTTCATATTTAGCCCAACATCTGGCATAATCTTCGACAGAATTTACAATAGAAATGAAGTTCTGTCGCCAATATGAAAGATCGGGGCTCCTGTATTTAGGACCTTTTCATATGATTGCTAACAGGTCCTCATTTTCAACTACAGGTATATTAACATAACGGTTTAAGACGTGTTCAACAGGACTGAAGTTGAAAGAAGAGCAATCTGAACACTTCAGATGATTTTCTTTTATAAGATGTTCAATATCTTGGCACTGTAACATGTGTAAGGATTGTTTATATTTGAAAAGTTTGGAAGGAAAAGTATGTGAATATTTTCAACTTCATTTATGGTGGAATGTAAGACTGAACTTTTTTTGATTAACACTGTTATTTATGTTCACAGCATCTAATTCCATAAGTGTAAGGAACCGACGGGTTGAGTAAGAATTATTTTCCGACATACGTGGTGGCTTAAAGAGCCTATGCAGGGCATATATTTTGCCTAAGGTACTCTTTTACTCGGACAACAGACAAATCGGTCGCAACCAGACTCCTGCATGGTTCAGACTGAATTTCAGCCTCCTAGCTGGTTTTGGATGCCAATGACATTCGGGTTATTATGAGTTGACTTTCACTGCTTCTTGGTGTATTTGATTCCCAAGTAATGTTGTGTAGACTCCAATTCATACGACATTAACAGGTTAGCTTATTTCTACGAGACATTATATGTTCAGATTCTAGAGAGAGAGTGAGAGAGAGATTTGACTTATTCTTTAATTTATTTATTTGTTTTTGAAAGATATATTATTTTCCCCTCAAAGAATTGATTATCATTTATATGCAAAATTGTAAAAAATAAAATAAAATGAGTAAATAAAATTATATTTGTGAACTACGTTAGTTTAGATACTTGTTTGGAGAATGGGATTTTTTTTTGGTCTTATTCTTGAGATATTATGAAAAAGTGTCCGTTACACTCAATACTCTAACTGCGCGGGGGTAGATTCTTATGTATCCACATCATGATGGTTATTGGTAGAGATTGAAATGAAATAACAGCGCTGAGTGTACCAAATAGACAGACTCCGAACATTCGATAACCCAATACTGTACGTTTCACATAATCAAAGCGAACGCACCATTGTTGTTTACAAATACGCACTCGGCACACCTCGGCCGATTCGTACCTCACTGATGAAGGTGAGGGAATCAGCCGAGGTTTGCCGAATGTACAAATACGGTGATCGTAACCTATCGGCATTTTCCTTCACTATAACGAAAAACCTCGAGGGAATGCAAAATTTGATAATATACAGCTGATCACGAGACGGTCAAATTGATCAAGACAGGACAGGTAAGTCTAATTTAGCAGTATTTCAGCACATTTAAATCAGCTTGCAACTGATCATTTTATTATCGATTGTATCTAACGGGCAAATAAAAAACATAAAAGGGTTTAGTTTCTATTAAATTAGCACCCGGAAGAAATGGGTAGGCCTAATCAACATCAGTCTAAATAACACAGGACTTGCTTCCGTTGGTAAAAAATATATATATATATGTATATATTTAAATATTAAAAAAATATTATATACCAATAACTAAAAAAACCCTCTTGGTTTAGTAGTTGGTACATGTATATGATTTTTAAAAAATATATTTTTACACCCCTGGAGCACAGGGGCATCTTATCCGCTCTGTTCTCTACTACACATATATAAAAATACACCTTGTGTATTTTTATATATGTGTAGTAGAGAACAGAGCGGATAAGATGCCCCTGTGCACCAATTCGCTCTGAAGAGAATACCTTCGAAGTGACAATATGCCAAATTAAACCTTCCTGCGTTTAAATTATATATGCTGATCTCTATATACCACAAACGCGTGGTCGTCAGCGAATAAATATATTGTACATGTAAACGAATTCTCACTGTTCATATATACTTTTTTATTTTATATGGGCGCCGTATATGTCAACTCAAAAGGACGCGTAAGTACTCTGAAGTTTCGGAGAATCTGTCCTACGGTGAACGTCCTCACACTCCTTATCATGCTTATAAAGCATGATAAGGAGTGTGAGGACGTTCACCCTACGGTGAACGTCCTCACACTCATGATAGGGTGAACGTCCTCACACTCCTTATCATGCTTATAAAGCATGATAAGGAGTGTGAGGACGTTCACCCTCGGCTTCTGGTGGTGAACTTCTAGTATGCTGGAGTACAGCACAGGAATCGATGAGGGTTGATACAGCAGGGAAGTGGACAAATATTTGACATGGCATGCGCGGATCTAGAGGGGGGGGTCCCCCCCCCCCCTGGAATTTGCAGAGTTATTAAAAGTATATACTGAAGAAAATAACAAAAATGACTTTGCCCCCCCCCCCTTCGAAAACGTGGACCCCACCACTACCACGAAATAGGTGTTTTCACGTTTGGGAAATGGAATTTGCAGGGTTTTTTTTCTGGGTTTAATACGTTTGGGAAGGAATTTGTTTTGTTTTGTTTTGTTTTGTTTTTTTTTTGCTTGTCAAGAAATTTTTGGGTTGGAAATTTTTTTTGACTCGGGTGCTGGGGTGGACACCCCCCCCCCCCGGAAAAAATTCCTTGATCCGCGCCTGCATGTGGAGACGAACTGACTCGAAAAGGGAGGGGGAACTTATCTATCTATGATATTTATAATTGTGTTTTGCCAAAAAAAAAAGTCAGAAAATTGAAAGTTAACATTTTTTTTTAATTAATACTTGTTAATCCCTCCATTTAAACTGATTGAAATATAGAAATATGTGTTATAATAATCAAAACGAATCATCTCAAGTTGTTTTAGACAGTGATTTCAGAATTATGTTGAACTTCATATATTGTAATATTTTTCGACAATTGTTTGTTTTCATCAAAGCTTCCAAACATCAATCGACCAATTAATGACAATGAATAATTTGTAGCAAACCCGCACTTACAGCGATTGATGAAGCATACTTAATACCTTGTTTATTGTTTACACACGTCAGGTACTCCATGAAAGAATAGTAGTCTATCTCAAAAAAATCTACGAACAGGACAATCTGTGAACAGCTAGGGAAAATTTAGAGCTAGGTTGGATCAGGTGCCTAGGAGGAGTAGGCATCCCCTGTCGACCGGATTCACACCTACCGTGAGCCCTATGTTTTGATCAAGTCGACCGGAATATATTCCATAGTCAAAGAATCTGGGGGAATAAGGCGAGCCATGTGCCCATGCCCATTTTTCGACTATGCAAGAACATTTATTGGAAAAAATCTCTCAATTGTTCGAATTTACTTGAGCAATTTAATGTTTGCAGTGGTTCTCAAAATGATATTTATATTCTAAACAAGCTAAACAGTTGACTTTCATTTATTGTCACAAGTGTCTAACATGGGTAGGGACTTCTATTAATTAATCTGCATATTGAGTGTTAACACTTATTGTGGAGATACTATAAAAATGTTAACATTGTATATAATGATAGTGTTGATCTAGAAGCGCTTGTAGTAAAAATAAATAAAAACGGGAATAAAAGTATTCAAATATCTACTAGTATTCTAATTTTTATCCGGCATTCTAAATAATGTACTGTAAATGAGTTCATCACTACATATATATATATATTTTTTATTTCCAGTGAAATATATGTTATTCCTATAGACATTTTTTATAAAGTAAAAAAAAATTAACCCCCTCCCTAAAAAATAAAAAATAAAAAAAATCATGATTCGAACACTTTCCTCAATAAACGTCCCTTTAAAGAGCTCCTCGCTAACCACTATACCACGGAGTCACACATACATACCCATTTAAATAGCATACAGTTCTCTATATTTAGCAAGCGTATTTGGACTTAGAATTATTTAAGACCACGGTGAAAATTTAAGTAAGTTAACTTAATTTTTTATGTAGAGTGGGTCTTCGTACCAAATTTTTGCAAGTGTAAAAAGCAACATCTTTCCATTGCCTGTCATTCATCGTTCTCAAAAAAATGGTACGATGACCCACTCTATTTAAAAAATGTAGTTATATCATCCAATTTATGTCAGTTTTTGTGAAAATTGAGCGTGATGCCATTTTTTTGGTGTTTATCAGAATCAATTTCGCTGTTACAGTATTCAGGTTTTGTCAAATTTGTATCGAGATGGTAATAAGCATTACACTAATTCAACAAAAAGTGAAATTTTTTAAAAATGAATTTACTGATTTTTTTATCGATCGTTATGTAGGCATATGGCTCGGCTTATCCCCCCAGTTTCTTTAGTATAAAAACAAAGGCCTAACAATTTGTATGAAATACGACCCAGTGATACGTTATATTTGTCAACAAGATCATTATAAAAACCATAGAATTTACGAAATGCTGACTTTAAAACAAGGTTGTTGAAATCCTTATAACATCAACTTCTCTTTCAATAGCTGCCTCGGTTTAAAAATTGATCGTACTTGGAGCTTGCTCTTGAGAATCGAATAAGTTGAGAGACATTAACAACACATACAGGTGATAGCGGAATATTACAAGATAACTAAGGAAACTTGACATGGAAAAGCTGAAGTCATCGCGTTTGTGCCTGACATGTAAAATTTAGTTGTTAGTTGGTCTTTATTGTCTAAAGTCAGTAAAACATCCAAATATGAAACAGATGTGGCAGACTGAGGCGTCTTTAATTTCGAGTTCACTGGGATATATATCGTCGACATATGAATGGAAGTAACTATTGTTAATTGACAAAATGCTGTTGATATATCTGAATGTCGAGTTCAAGGCCATAACAAGCGTTTTCTTCTTCTCATGTAGAAGTACAAGTAGTTATAACTTATATAGACATACATCCAATTTTGCGTCTGTGTAAACACTTTGCCGTCCCATTCACTACAGATCGCCGCTATACTCGCCGCTCCAATTAATGAGCAGATGAATCCGTTACAAAATTGTGATTTTGTATTATTTTTATTTTATTTATTTATTTACAAAAATATGCCAAGGCCCTTAAACAAAATATCTATAATGTCTATTTAGAAATTTGATTTTTATTATAGTTTATGTGTATATTTACTATTGAGTTAATAGGTACCCCCCTCCTGACGTGAGTGTTTTAGATCAGGTTAGCGACCGGTCAATGATGGTAATCATGATTATAGACTAAAAGTTTTCAGTGTTAGCCTCTCATGATAGACTATTCAGGCACTAATCTAGGTCATATTTACTAACGATATGAAATATTTAGGTATTTTCCCCAGGAGAAAAAGAGTCCATTTTCCTTAAGTTTTTATTCTATGTTAAAAATACTACATCCTTAAAAAGATCAAACAATCACTGTACCGTTAACAGTCCATTATGCAATAAATATATTTACATTTTCTGTACTTGATACTACGACGTATACTTCAGACAAGTTGTTCTTCTGAAATATTTTCTATTTATCAATAAAAATCTCCATTATGATTAAATAGAAAATACGTCAGAAAGACATTTATACTACCTTTCCGAAATTCTTTTTATGACTATTTAACGTTGAATTTGGCTAAGAATGAGTTAATCAATGTGGTATGAAACGTCATGTGACACTAAGAAGATTGTCCAAAAATGGTATCCCCCAATAGATTACTCCCCGAAATCACAGTTTTAATTAACATCAAACAACAGAAACAGAAAAAACCCTCAGTCATACTTGAGGAGGAGTACACTACTTATGGGATATGTTACAGCTTTTCCCGAGGAAGTGGCTCAAACTGAGTAAATGCCTCCACCCTTCCCAACGTACACATACTAAATGATTTGTTATTTTTACCGTTATTTGTATTGGAACACCTACACCTACACACTCTCTCTCACTAAAGAAAAAAAAGGCTCATGAGCCTCAATTCTCATCCGAGTCACCTTGGCCCTGCAGTAGAAGAATTCAAAAGGTCTTTCCAATGGGAGGAAAAAATCACTTCATATTGTGGCTGTACCTTCCAACAGAGGTTATGACGTAACCAAACTTGAATTCACAAAGTCATTTTGGCCTTGCAGCTCCTGAGAAGATTTGTTGATATTTTTTTCCTGCAGACATGCATTTAGGTAAAAAAAAAGAGTTGAATCCAAACAATTACAACTTCGGCATTTTTGCAAATTAATATTTTTAGTGTGGCACTGCTACTGCTGAATTTTTCAAAAATTATTTTCCCATATATTTCCAGGTAATACTTTGATCCTCTATTTTCACCCCCACCTAGTTTGAAATATCTGACGTTTTCCAGGCGTTTTTAGCGATTTTGATATTTGGCGTTTTCCTGGTACGTCAAATATCAAAATCGTGAAAAACGCCTGGAAAACGTCAGATATTTTGGGCTACTCCTCGCCCAACCACCAGGGACCATAATTTGAACAAACATTAATGTGCACTACCTGGGGGTGTTTACGTCTTACCTGTAATATGAATAATCATAGTCCTGGTATTCTTTAGAAGAAGATTTTTAAAATATTTTTTTTATACTAAAGTATTCCAGTATTGAATATTTGAAAGCACTTGCATCGAGCATTTGCATTTTCTCAGCATTTAAATACATCATTATCGAATCAAAGGTTATTTTATCTATTTTAATGGAAATGTATAAAGAGTACCCCATGTAAGGCAGTTACATTAGTTAACATGTACATGTATTTATTATTTATTGCTATTTGGAAAATAAAATAAAGCTGGGCGAACAAGACGTGCAAAATGCCTATAGCTTCAAATGTATAAAAGGCATATTTGATTTGTGAATGTAGTTTTAAAGCTCTTATCACTGAGAGGTATGAACATAGACCTGTGCTTTAGGTATGGTATGAAATTATGACAAACTTTTCTGCGGAAAACCATTTTATGATTAAAATAATGTGGTTTTGTTAGGGTTCGAACCCAAGCAATAAAAATCCTGAGTCTTATATTTTTCCCTTCGAGGCTAACACGCCAACCACTACGCTGTAAATGGACTTTAATGGAGATTTTAAATATATGTAGTGTATACGTTAATGTTAAATGAAATTTTAAAGAAAAAAATTTCATAATTGAGATTTTTTTATTTTTCACGTTCTTATTGTCGCACAATGGGCATTTTGCTCGCCTTGTTGCCCTTCTTATTTAAGGAGTATGACGTGTTAAAACAATTTAAGGCATGCAATATAGACGCATGATTGTCTTCATAATGATACATGAAGTATTTTACTTTAATCAACGTGTCTACTGACATATGTACAATATTTTTTTTTTCTTTTTTTCGTTTAAATAAAAAATAAGATATTGCTTAAAGTAAACATTACTCAATCAACCATTTCAGAGGACATCATGCCTTCGGAGTCGTTTTCAGAAGTTCTTCCGGGATTCACAGGGGAGAGTAATCCAGATATTTTCAACCTAAAAGCGAGGCCGAATGTTACCGAGAAGAAACCAGGCCAACTTCCGGACCACATGATCAAACAATACTTTGAAGATGTATGTTTTTTTTTTTTAAATATTCTTATATCAAAGTTTCATCACAAATGTTTTATTTTTCTTACTTTCTTAGAAAACACTAAAAAACCCAACAACACTGTATATCCTTAGTGTCGGATCTACTAAGTAGATACAAGGTCACGGATGAAAATTTATATAAACACTAAAAATGACCAACGACACGAACAATAAAAAGAGTCAAATTTTCGGGACGCCCTGTCCCTTCCTCAGGGCATATAAAAGGTTTTTAAAAAGTCATGAAAGAACAAAACAAATGAAAACAAAAACATATCTCTAGCACTAATACTACACTACTAAACCCTATTTATTTTCACTTTAACATTTTGAATTTTGATGTTGAAAACTAATAAATATGAAATGAATCTGAACCACTGCGAGGAACGTCCAGTCAGTTTGGTATACTGTGGCGATTTCGCCGATTCTGAAGTCTCTGATTTTATCCTACACTATACCAATAACCGGAAGCTCTTGTAGCCCGTCTATAGTCTTAATATGTCGTGAGGTAATTTTCGAGAAATAAATGAGTGGGTTACATTAAAGAGGCTTGACCAAGGAGGACTGGAACACTATATTTGAAAAGAAAAATGTCTCTAGAAGCGAACTATGTCTTACTGAAGTAGGTTAATGATTGATAAATTGATAAAATACTGGCTTGAAGTGGGGGTGCCTGAAATTAAGTTAGGTACCTTGTGGTAAAAATAAGTAGGGATGCCCTGTATACGAAACACGTGCCTGTGTATTAACTATCATATGCTGCCTTCAACAGAGGTGGCAGAGGATAGTTTTTTTAATGCCAAACATGTGCCGAGGGGGTACACATATACATGCGATAAAAAAAACATGTACATGGGGACAGTTTTCCAGGGGCTAATTAATTACACTTCATATGCCCATGGCTCACAAATTATGTCAACAAATTACATGTAATCTGCCTATTAGAGTGCACATGTACCAAAAATGCACCTGGGGACTCCCCAAATTTTGGCTTGTTTTTCCAAGATTTGGGCCTCAGTCGCACCCATACAACCCACCCCCAGGCCCGAGCGAGCAGGATAAAACACCCAGTAGTCTGTAAATCAATGCATGCCCTAATGAAAATTCACCAATTGATATGGGGTCATTCACCTTCCCTTTGAGATACACACCTTCTTCTAAGGCCTACTGCTTTTCAGCTGAATTTCCTCTGCAACTGACCACGTGTCTTAGTTTCGCATTTACAACTCTGTATATGATAAGCGTCATAGTGACACCTACATGTTGCACATCATTTTTTTTCAGCAAGCACTCTGCTACACTGCAAATGTGTCCCATAATTATTCTAATCATTTTTCTACATAAAATATCACATCAAACAGGGGATATCTCAGTTTTTTAAGAAATTTGACCTGGTCTTTAGGACGAAACTATCCCCTGCCACCAGAGATGTCTCCTACCTTTAGCAGAAATATCTCCCCTGTCAAGGAGAACAACACTGCTTAAAACAACAATTAATATGTTTAAGTCTGAGCTTGAGCGAAAAATTTCACATATACGGTAATTGTCATACATAGATGATTTCTACTTACCTCCAATTATTCCAACATGAAAGGTCAATGAGATATTAGATGCCTTGATCAAGCATAATTGATATCCAGTTTTAGTTATTACAGTTTAATAATTAGACAATAGGTAAATTATAATGAAAGATTACGATTCAATATAAAAGAAATCTTTTTTTGTAACACAATTTTCCCTTGAAACACAATTTTTTTAATTTTTTTTTATCCCCCCCCCCAATTTTTGTTAGAAACGCATGCCTATGGTCCACATATTGCAGACCTTTTGAAGGACACCAACTTATTCGAATTGATGAACAGTCTTTTTTGTTTCCACAGTCCTTAGGATGTGGTTTCAACAGATATTTGGCGTGAACTCGTTCTTACTTTATTAATTTTTTAACCCCCCCCCAATTTTTGTTAGAAACGCATGCCTATGGCCCACATATTGGAGACCTTTTTGAAGGACATCAACTTATTCGAATTGATAAACAGTGTTTTTTGTTTACACAGTCCTTAGGATGTGGTTTCAACAGATATTTTTAATGATAACGATAAAGAAATCAAGGACTTTTGTAGTCAGATTATCGTTAAAACTAAAAAAAGATATCGAATAGCTGGAAATGGCGTCTGAACATTGGAGGAATTTTGGAGGTTTTAAAAATACTGTTGACGTGCTACCTGGATATACAGGAGAATGTCATCCGGAAATATTCAATTTGTCCGCAAAACCAATTGTTCGAGAAAAGAAATTAGGACAGCTTCCGGACGAAATGATCCGGAAGTTCTTTGAAGATGTAACTTTTTTTTTTCTCCTTTGTTCAGATTAGAAGAAAATTTGGGTAGTTGAAATGTACAGTAAAAAAAAAAAATAAAGTAATGTACATGTTTGAAATGTCATGTATAATTATGATATACCGGTATATTTCTGTTCTAGCTTACTTAGTGAGGTCTGATGATTAAATGTTGTCTGTCTGAACATATACATTGACTTTAAGTATTTGCAACTTAAATGAAAATTCATTTCTAATAAATAGATACACATGTACACCCACTCATGAAGATATTCAACTTAAGATATGTTTACACTTTTGAATGAAGGGTTACGTGGTTGTGAAGGACTTCTTTACGAAGGAAGAATTGGAACCATGCAAAAAGGCTATTGAAAGATTTGTTGATCAGCTGGCTCAAAAACTGTACGAATCTGGACGAATAAAAGGTAACTAGTACATATCAAAATTCTCTTTTTCTCTCAGAAAATGTGGTCATTGTCACCATGATTTTTTTTTTTACATTTTGTTTTAGAGCTTTACAGTGGGTACGGATTTTTTGAACGCTTGTCGAAGATTGAAAAAGACTTTCCAGGAGCTAATATAGTTCTACACAAATACGGAGTTCTGCCACAGGTATGCAAACTATTGCTAGCTCCCAAGGCACTGTAGCATCTTTCATAGCCTTTTTTCAGCTGTTCAAAATGTGATATCACAGTCAAATTCGGGTAGCTGGTGATCTGCAGCTCTGGGCTGAAAAAAATCGGATAGAGAACCAGAGAACTAAAATTCCCTGTATTCAAAAAGCATATATTGCGCACTTTATATAAAAAAACTGCACACGGTTGGAATTTCCATACTGTAAAGCTGTCAAAATCTTACTAACTCTAGGAGCTAGCTTTCATAGTATTTTTATGTTGTTTTTTTTTTCCGACGAGATTTGTTCAAGCATATAGGAAAGACCACAAGAATAGAAATTGAAGCTTCTTATGACCAGCAAAAGAATCGTTTGACTCTTCTAGGTATTTGTCAAAGAACTGCGAACGATAGTATTGTTCTCCCGCCTACCTCCAAGTCAATTTTCGAAAGTTAACATATTTTAATGATTTTTCATATTTATATAGGTATTTATGTGAATTTTCATAAAACGTTACTTATTTGGGAAAACAAAGAGAGATAACTCTATAATTTTGGTAAAACTTGTGTTTCAACGGAAAACGGAAATATTTTTAAAACATCTCCACCCCCACCCCCCACCCCCACCCCCACCCCCGTGAAACAAAAATTCCTTTTTACAGTTAATATGGATTGTTATTTCACAAATTCATACCAAAGCTTTTTGTGTTTCACTGGGGGAACATATGTTTACAGACAAAAAACGACAGAAATGCTCATTTTTTCACCAATTTTGAAGGGGTTTACAACTTAAACGTTGTATTTAATCAATTACATATGTTTAATTTTATATGAATAAAACATAAGAAAAGACGTAATGAACATTTATTCATATCCAAGAATATTTTAAAATATGATGATTCTTTCAAGCCGATTTCAATGAAAAACATCGTCTACCTCCTTATAAAATGAGCTGGGATTAAGAGTAATTAACTATTTAACACTGGTATCAAAATTATTAATCAAATACTATAAACTCTTCTTTGCATTAAACAAAGATTTTATGACCAAATTGCCATTAGTATTGAATTAAATGGGTGTAAAATGTAGGCGGGAATCGAGAGTTAGCGTGCGTAGTTCTTATATCGTGGCTCTCCCACGGCGGTGAGTGGACTCTACTCTGGATACTATTTTTCCATGCTTAAAGAAACGTGGACTGGAGGGGAAAATGCTACTATCTCCCTTTAATGTAAAATGATTTAATTAATCTTAATAAAATATACGGGAAGGAAATTTTTGCACATGCTATAAAATGCTTCATCCCCTCGGTTTTTTTTCATTGAGGAGAGGGGATGGAGCTTCGGGTATATTTTTAGACGTAGAGTTGCGATGCATCGTTCATAGCCATTATTTTAAATTCAATTTTAACAAAGCATTTTAATGTAGTCATTGTTCTTCGAATTCAAACACATAGAAGATATATTGTACGTATATGTACTTCTATCAGGTGAGGGATAAATGATTAATGAAGTATAGAAAATTAATAATCGTATCGAGGCCTGTCTTAACATTTCATTTTAACTTGTAATATGGCTCAGCGCACCACGTTTCCGAAAATTGGTTTTATCTTTTTGCAAAAAATATGTAATTATTCTGCAAATATCACTGGCGGATTTAGAGGGGGCCAGGGGGCCCGGGTCCCCTTTTGTGTCCAAAATATACATAAGATTTAATAATAAAATCATTTTTTTGGTGTGGCTGTGGGTCCCTACCCCGACCCCTAACTGGTCGCCCCCCCCCCCCCTTTCAAGATTCTTGGATCCGCCACTGAATATTTATTCTAAGATTCTGCAAAAGAAAAAATAACAACTTGTATTCGCAAAAAAATATTGTAAATTGTATTTTCAGGCGTTTAAAGATCTTTGGACCAATGAGCGTTTGTTGAATGTTGTGGAGCAGCTGATTGGTCCAGACATTGCCGGGCACCCGGTTTGGAATCTACGCACCAAGACACCCCAGAACGAGGCTACAACAGTTCCTTGGCATCAAGGTAAAGATGGATATTGGCACAGTCCAGACAAACAACGAATATTTAAGCAAATTTAAATTTTCCTGATTAACGAGTATTTGACCGTCTGTACGCATAGCTCATCCAAAATAGGATAGTCCATATTTATAAATTAATAATTATTCCTATTTTGTTGTAGACACTGCCTATTTAGATCGAGAGTCCTACAAAGTCCTCCAGCCAACGGCATGGATTCCGCTTCTAGACGCCAATGCTGACAATGGATGCATGCAGGTAGAGATAATGCAACTTTCCTTTAGATAGCATCGTTTTTAAATAATTCATGAAGCCAACTATTTAAGGGCATTTGACTTCTACTAAAGGTTGCACGCAGAGGTCACAAGACTGGAAAAGTTGCTCACCATCAGTGTTGTTACGGAAAGACCTGGTATGTCATGCTGGAAGAAGAGGAAATGGCCAAAACATTAGGTAATGTCTGATCTGTGACTAGTCAGACAGTATTTATTTGAATAAATGGACAATGTATTATCTGCAAAATGTGTGTTAAATATTTGGAGCTTATATTTTGATTCAACAGAGGTAGATTTGGACAAAGACATCATTACATGTCCAGTTCCCTATGGAGGAATGTTACTGCTGAACAATATGATTCCTCACAGAAGGTAAATCGGTTCTATTCCATATTGGTTTTACATCCTAAACTTTTCTCTTTACTAAGTGTGAAATAACGTCGCGGGTTCGAATCCCACTGTGGGAGTGGAGACCGGTCCTTCGGATGAGACCGTATAAACGAAGGTCCCGTGTCGCAGTAGGTGCTGGCTTGAAAAAGATCCTCACTGCTCAATGGCCCTAAGTGCCGAGCATAGGTCAAAATTTGCAGCTCTCCACCGGCAAGTGGTGGCGTCTCCATATGAGTGAAAAATTCTCGAGAGGGACGTTAAACTACATACAAACAAATGAACTAAGTGTGAAATGACTGCGATTTTACATTTAAAGGTAACACAGAAGTCAGAATTTATAACGTATAGTAACAGACCGACCAAATGAGTTTGATGTACATATATTTATTATTTATGTCTAACATTCAGCTTGCCGAACATGTCGGACAAGATCCGTTGGAGCCTTGATCTCCGTTGGCAAAAACCGGATCATCCCTGCGGATTTTATGGCATGAAGAACCACCTACTTTTCCGGACGTCCAAGGATCCCGACCACAAGATCGACTGGACAGGCTTTGACGGAGATGACCGTTGGTCTAAACAAAAGGAATCGGTCAAAGACCTCCAAGACGTACTTCCGGTATGTATAAATCAACATGCTCTGTTACAAGACAAGTAAATAACGACTGCTGTCTTTAAATATCCAAGAGGTAAGATATATTTTTACAGACCAGAGCTCGTCCAGAATTTATTTATAACTAAAGGCAAAGCCATCTAACATGCAAAATTTATAACCTGAGGCGTGGAAAAACGTTGATCAAATACTGTTCACCCAGACAAGTTTTATTCAGCACCAGCGCTTCATGATATTAAATAAGCGCTATGTTAAGGAGAAAACTATTCCGGTTCCTTTCCCCATTTTAGCTCTAAGGAGACATGCTTCAACCTTTTTGCCATCACCCTAATAAATATGTACATTTTTTAATTACTTTATAGGACATTATTGAAAAAAAAAAACCTTGAATGAATAATGAACTTTGCAAGGCTAAAATTATTCATTTTACTTGTACAACTTGTATAAACATAGATATAGTTTTTTTCATGATTTTTTTTAAAAAAAGCTTGTTTGTAACATGCTTTCTTAAATAGGGAAAAAAGTCCACATCCTTTCTTGTTTATAAGCCAGTGAACTTGAAAAATGAATTTAAAAAAATCTTTTAGAGAAATCATCCTTATACATTCAAATATAACTATATGTACCAGTATTTCCAGGGTTAAATGTTTAATTTAATGCATGTCAAATTATTTCAAGAATAAAATTCATGTCTGGTACATGTATATGATTAAAGTTGAAATAACTTTATTCTATTCTTGCTGTTATTTTCCCCCCATAGCATGTGGAAGACGCTGACTTTGACACCACTATCCAGGGTCCATGGATGAAGAAATGGGACCTCGTCCACCATAATCAACACACAGCCAAACTAGACGATAGTAAAGAGCTCTCCTGGCACGCCTCGACAAAAGCTTAACTTGTGTTGACTATGACATGTTTCACGGTCCAATACTTCATATTTGACTACAATCTCTTTGCAATATGGACATTATAAACAATAAATGAATTGTCAGGGAGATTATGCATTTTATACTGGTTTTAAGAAGTAAAATATCGAGCTTGTATACATTTAGATACCATTCTACATGCATATATTCATATATTTTTAATTTTAAATATAAATATTTATAAATCTCAGGAATATTGTATGTTGTTTTTTTTTACCGATTTAAAGGAATAAAACTGCTGAAAATTTGTAAAACTATGTTTTAATTAGTTGAATGTTAAGAAATCTTTTTTTGGATTTCATTTGTAAAAAAAATAAAATAAATCAGAATAAGACTTTCTGACATGTTTGCACTTGCTTTAATTATTGAGGGAACACAAATATAAAGTAGCTTTGTTTTCTATAGTATACCACCGGTATATGTCGACAAAATTACCCCCCCCCCCTTGTTCCTACAGCCAAGACGACTATTTAAGTTTACCAGTAAGACATAACTTGTGATCCCATGATAATCCGGTTAGTTCATTGATCACAGTTCTTAGTTTCACGTCAGTAAATCATCAATAAAAATGAATCCCGAAAGAATTTGCATATGTTTTTAATGGACAACAGATCTTTATATTTTTTAGTCATTCATTCAAGTACCTATGCGAGACTCATATCATTTTGTCGTAGACGTAGACTTGTTCAAGGCGAGAAACTACCTATCGGTACTATCGGGACAAGCCCCCTCGTCTGATATCTGAAGATACACTCGTTAAAAGGTACTCTATATATTACATATTGCAAAGTTTGACATGCCAAAAATACTGCTTCTATAATTTATCGCGGTATTATACATGCGGTAGCCTAAGCATCAAAAGACGTACCGATAGGTAATTTGACGACCGCCACATGGCTATGTCATGTTCTAAAGAATGTTTCCTTAAGCATATTGCCGTGGCCCCTTTTTCGGACCACTCTAAGATCATCTAATTAACTCAAATCTTAATTATTTTACACCTAACCCATATTTTATTATCTGTGTGGTACATTACTTGCAAAAATTTACTTTGAAAGCGGCGCTTTAGTTTTATTAAAAGTAATTAAAAATGCCCTTTATTGGGTGTTAATTCCGGAGTGTTGCGCATGTCCGAGCTGGGTTTTAAATGTGTCTCCTTAATATTCGGAGTAGGCGAGGCATTTCATAGATCGATTGAAAACATGTAATAGTCAGTTATATAATGGCTTCTGGGATATAATAAAAAAATATACACATAAGTGAACACAAAGAACATGCTTAAACTTCTCAAAGCTTAAGCCAGTTTTTTTGAAAGAGGGGTGCGGGGAAGGATCTTGAAGATGTACATGTACTCCCCCCCCCCCCAAAAAAAAATTTCCAGATCCCCCCCCCCAATTTTTGGTAGGTTCTGGTAGATCCTTGAAGTCATATAGTAAATAAACAATATCTAGCAGCTTACTTAAAAAACAACAGGTGAATGAAAGGTTACTTTTGTCTCGAAAATATTTTTTATTTTAAATAGGGTAAGTTGCGATCGCAATTTTAGAAACGTACGTGGCGTGTACGTGGAAAATCAACACTAAATAAACCATTTTTACATTGAGCCCCCAAGCGAACCCCTAATTCCAAGGACTATAAAACTAAAATATCATTACATTTTGCCCGATTTAAAATTCCATTACCCTCATCTTTCAAATATTTCTTATGAATGGTAGAATCATTTTTTCTGTCTTCAAATGTGGACCTAATACCTGAACAATATTAATATCCAACGAATGCCACTATTATCATCGGTTTCATGGACGTAGGAACCGGGGAGGGGGCACGGACCCCCCCCCCCTCCCCATAATTTTGCCGATATATAGAGCACTTAGGAAAACATAGCTACCATACACTTGTGCCCCTTCAATAATTACGTCTAATGCCCCGGTCCCCTTTTTTTTGCTTGTCAAGAAATTTTTGGTAGTTGATAGTGCCCCCCAACTGAAAATGTATGGATGTGCCCAAAAAACTGAAATTTGCTTCCTACGGGCCTGGGTTTTACCAAAATAGGAATTTTATACATACCAAAAGAACTCCTTCGAAAAGTATATATAGAACTCAATGTAGATGTATGTTTTAATTTAAAGAATATTTTGTTAAGAAAAGTAAACGGAATTTAGTAGAAGGGTCAGTCTATTTTAGCCCTCTCCCTACATCAAGGTCAACGTAAATTCATATACATGTGTAATTGATATAAATAAACAAAGCAAAAATGTAGAAAATGTACCAAAAAGAAGGGGTAGGGAGAAAAATTAAAAAAAAATACTAGTAAGTAAAATTACAGAGAAAAATAAGCAAAATTACAGAAAAAAATACCGGTTTGGAAATATTCAAAAATGTTGAATTTACTTACAAAATAATGAATATTTTAGCAATATATAGCACTACTAAAAATACTGGACAGAAAAAAATAATCTTAATTCGATGTTGATCAATTGAAAATGTAACTGTCTGAATTTCTAATCGGAGCTAAAGCTGCGTGATTTATTGATTTTTTTTTTTTTTTTTTTTTTTTTTTTTGTATTCACAAAGTTACCCGAGTCTACAAATCACGTGATAAATTGGAATATTTTAACAGGTCATAGTGAGGTCAATGACATGTAAATACCCGTGAATAGTGAAGGAAACCGTCGGTGTTTTGTACCTATTTTCAAAAAGTTTACCCCGAGCGCAGGCTTTCCCAAAATTCTCCTTTAAATATGATGAATTCCCAACAGTTATACACCTACTGTCCTTTTGAGAAATTTGGGCAACAATGCGCTCACCATGTATTACGACTTTAAAAATCGGAATAACTTAGAATATCAATGGAGATTCGTGAGTTGCAGTGACCCCTCTTACAAAACACAGCTTCGTTCTTTATTTCTATGGGCTTTTAATTCCTGTAATTTCGCAAAGTTGTGATTTAGACATAGAAGAATCGCATTATTCATCTCATGGGGCTATTTTCTATACTTTATTTTTGCGCATTTTACCGGGGGCCACGTTTTGTACACTAAGTGCAATCATTCTTTTGAATTTACCGGATGGGAGTAAATACAAAATTTAGATCATGTTCTATGTTTTGTTTTACTCCCACCCGGTAAATTCAAAATTTAGAACATGACAGCTAAACAAGGTGTACAAGGTATACACCGATTGGGCGATAGATAAAAAGGACACAGATAAAATGACCCGTTACTATCCCCTTGATATTACTGCTGTGTCGTGCTGCAAGAAGAAAGATGACAACAAAAGAAGCAATTACAGACGAATCTGATAATGTCCTACCGGGATTTACTGGCAAATGTCACCCAGAAATATTTAACTTATTGGCAAGACCGGATATAAAGGAGAAAAAAGCAGGACAACTACCGGACGAAATTATCAGGAAGTTTTTCGAAGATGTTTGTATTTTGTGTGTTTGGTTTTAAAAATGATTTTAAAAAATGACATGGGAAACGTTTTTCAACTTAACGTATGTAACGAGATAATTTACATCGTTTTTTTTCAAATTAGAATACACGTCTTCGATCTTGAATCAAAACTGAATTTTCTCGGTATTAACATAATGCGTTTTAGCTCACCTGAGCCAGAAGCGCACAAATAGTTTTCTGTAAAATTGTTTATAGCAAGTTTCCAGACCATAACTTGTTTTCTTCCAGCTTTTCTCAGTGAAATTTTATATCACAACTCTTATGCCTTAAAAAGACCTCTATTGATTTTGAGGTCAAAGGTCAAGGTCAGAAATTTTGCAAAAATGGTTTCCAGATAATAACTTTAAGTTCTCTTTGAACTTTTTGCAGTGAAGTTATATACTAGTATCGTAAACTCTAGTGGCTTAAAAAGGATTCCCATTTATGTTTTGGTCAAAGGTCAAAGTTCAAGAAATGCAAAGACAAAATTGACTCTGGATGATACCTTTAATTGTCCATGAGCTTTTTCAGTAAGTTATAAATAGAGGATATTCAATCTTTTGTTGTCGGATTTGGAATTTATTTCACGAGTGGGACAGGATTTTTTTTTTTATTATTTTCACGAGTGCGACGCACGAGTGAAAATATAAAAAAAACCCTGTCTCATGAGTGCAATAAATTCACTATCAAACTACAGAACATCGAATTTTCTGTTTATTACATTTTCTTTGATTTTCCCTTTGCCTCTGTCTTTTCTAAATACAGTGTCATAATCTGTAACGTCATTGTTGAGCAGTTTAGACGTCATAGCTTAATTAAACAGATGTGAGATTGAAAACATTATAACATGGATTTGAGCAACATATTTGGAAGAAATTGGCAGTTTTAGTCTCTATCAAAATTGTTTAGTTACTATCTCAATCATTACGGGCCAGAAATTATATTTTACCTACTTTGATATCCTTTCTCGAAAAAGATCCCTCACTGCTCAATGGCCCTGAGTGCCGAGTATAGCTCAAAATTTGCAGCTTTCCACCGGCAAGTGGTGGCGTCTCCATATGAGTGAAAAATTCTCGAGAGTTACGTTAAACAATACACAAACAAACACACTATGACAAAATATCACTTTTATTCAATAAATAAATCACAGTATTTCACTGTTGAAAATGTAATAAATCATAAATACCAATGACTTATTGAATACCCCTGTGATTTCATATGTCAAAAGGTCAAGGCGAAAAATTTATATTTTGCATAAAATGGTTTTTATTAGTATTAGTTCTCTTTGAGATTTTGCAATGAATTTTTCTACCTTTATCAATATGAATTAAAAAGACTCCTATTGATTTTCAGGTGAAAAGGTCAAAATCAAAGCCAGAAATAATTGATATATTTTAATCCTGTCTGGCTCATAGCTGGAAAACTATTAGACCTAAAATCATCAAACTTGGTCAGTTAATGCATATTAGGTAGAGGGTGTGTCGCACCCTACATAAAGTCACTGTGACCTTTAATTAAGGTGATTCAAAAAATGTTTTAAGGGAAAAGTCCCTACAGATGTAAGAATACTGCAGTAACCTTATTAAAAAAAAATTAAGAAAATAAACATTTCTTTTATGATATACTGTACAGCTATATATCACAAATACAATATTTTTTTTAATTTCCGACATTACAAACAGAAATTGTCCCAAGGGAGTAATTCATGGTGTTTCACCATGCATAGGCCATTTTGATTAAAGTCGAATTGCATCCGTAAACATAACGATTAATCGATGATTTAGAGTAGGAAGACAGTCTTTATCATTTTTGTTAGAGCTTCTCGTATCAAGAAAGTATACATGTATCTATTTCTCTTTTAAATTTGGGCAGAAGAATCTGGCCTCTTATTTGCAATTAATAGCATCTGTCAAATTAAAATATTTCTTGATGGCTAACCTTTATTTTCAAAATTAATCTGATCTTGTTATCAAATTTAAGTTGGTACTGTCTAATATATATATATTTTTAATTTTTATATCTCAACAAACAAATTACAGGGTGACATGTCTGATGAAGGGATCTCAGATGGTTGTAAATAAGTTTTATCGTCTAATCATGAATATAATGATTAATAATCTGATGTTTCACTAGCCTGTGGCATTGTTTATCATTCATAAAACATACTGGTACAATGAACAGAGCTGCAGATTGGGCATTAGTGTAGCTCCGAAACAACCAGTTGAGAAATATATGATGATCAAATATTTCTCAGCTGGTTGTTTCGGGCTACACTAATGCCCAATCTGCATCTTTCGATGTACATGTACTACTGAGTATTTGTTTTAATGATTACTTCACCATAGGAGATGCACATCAAACATAAGGAATATCATGTGCCGTGGCGGTGCACTTCATTTTCAGTTCTTCCACCCTCTTCTTTTTTTCCTTAGGCGGGGGACACAAATTCTCTAAACTAGCTTTTTAAATCTTCTATTACATGTGTATTTAGAACATGGTTACAATGTGAGAATTGCGCTTACTACGGTAGAAGTTCAAATCAGTTTTTGCTATGAATGACGCATTTTTAGACGGTAATGCTGTCAGTTTTTTTAAAATATCATATTTATTTGAAAAAAATATGCAATGGAAAATGCAAACTTTCAAACATAAGCATACTCTCTAGGACATAAGTTATATTATCCTATTGGATTCGATTTCATTTTTTATTGTTTTATTGTTGTTTTTATTATTGTTTTTATTTTCTTTCAGGGTTATGTTATTGTTGAAAACTTCTTTTCCAAGGAAGAACTGGAACCATGCAGAAAAGCTATTGAAGAATTTGTAGATCAACTTGCTCAGAAATTACATGGAGCAGGAAAAATCAAAGGTTAAAGCCATAACTTTACCTCTTTATTTATCTGGGAGTTCAACATTACCACTTTCAAAAATTCTAAAGTTTGGAAATGTGTAGAAAAAAAAAATCACTAGGAAATGTTAATATTAAGATGATTTTTTAAAACAAATCATCTTAATGTTAACATTAACTAGCGTTTTGTTAATGATAATCATTCTAGATAAAATACATGGATAATATATGTACCTTCAGCATGAGATCGTGTGATGTAAGCAGGGTTGACTAACATTTAAATGAGCTCTTTTGACCAGTGAAATTAGTGATCTACAGTAGTTATACAAATAAAAATGAATAGTTTAATCATTATATTTTTTTGTTAAAATTTCACAATAATGTCTAAAAGTACATGTATTTTAAAATATATACAAGATTTATAACGGTGATTGCAGAAAGGTAGATTTTTAAACATAGAAATCTACAATTTCTTAATATTTAGAAAAAATTATATTTGCAACATTTACAACCAAAATAGGCCCAAACATTTAAAAGTCCTGGCATCCATACTTATGCATCATCTGTCCTTAAAAAATGTATTTTACTAAACTGATTCCAGAACTTTACAGCGAGTGTGGCTTTTTTGAACGTTTGACGAAGATTGGGGAAGACTTCCCTGGAGCAAATATAATTTTACACAAATATGGCGTCCTGCCACAGGTACGTAACAAATATAGTAGCTTCATATTGTGCCAGGCAATAAAAACAGACAGTATCCAACAAGATTGTTTACTGACATAAAAAAAGCCAACAATTTTGTCCCCTGCTTTTATTGGAAGTGGGGGAAGTTACTTGGATTCAGTCCATCCGCCCGCCTGTCGTCCTGTCTGTGTCTAACACTTTCGTTTCCAGACGATATCTCAAAAAACCTTGGAGTTTTTGCACTGAAATTTTATATCACAACTCCGTACAGGCTTAAAGGGGGAGGAAATAAGCACCTCCCTCAATTTTACCTGGTCTGTGAACCCCTGTCAATCAGATGAAATTAAGCCTGAGATTGGATACTGAAAATTGATTGACATATTGTTACCTGCCGTTGTGTATATCTTGTATACCTTGCCTGGGGATCGTACCGATCATTGAATTAACATTCAGTCTTTGATGCCTACCGCATATAATTTATAACATCGTGATAAAGATTTTTCTTCGAGACATAGTGATGAAAGTTACGGTAAAATAACCAGTTTTAAAGAGAAATAAACATTATTATAAAAGCTGTCATTGCATATACAAGTTTAGAATTATGGATCCCGAGGAAAAAAGTACATGTATGATAAAGTGATTGTTTTCCTGTTTCGTCTACCTGTCGGAGAAACAATACGATGCCATGACCATTTTTACGAAACATCCATGCGTCATTAGCTAATAACTTAGGAGTTATACAAAAAAATATTTATTTAATTTATTATATATTTTCTACAAAAATTAGCCTTCAAACAGGATTTCAAAGTTTAAGAGACTTAATTATTCAGGACCGCGCTTTTTTCTACTTTCGTTTTGCGCATGACTATTTCCCTCGGTGTCGCCAGCTTACAACCAAAGATTTGAAATTTATTAACGCACAAAATTAAACTAAAATTGTCTCCTTTATTCAAACATATTTTTTAAGAAAAAGAATTGAACTAAAGGAATCAGTCTACATAAAAAATTTAGCATGTTTTATTTCATAAATTTGACGATCAACATTTCGATTGACCAACGCGCGAAGTTAAACTATATGTCTTAGTAAAATATTTACAGGTAATATACAGGTAACATCCTGTGTATATAGATAGATATATACAAGCCAGCTTGGTTTCCTCGGGGCTTCACGGCCGTGTCAATTAAGCTCCACCCACACCAAATTTACCTGAGGAAAATCGACCGGTTGAAAACCTCGGCCTTTAAGAAGATCCCTTTTGATTTCGAGGTCAAGATCAAGGTCATAGATTCTTACATTCTGTCAGTGTGTACCAATTTCGTTTCCGGGCAATATCTTAAAAAGGTCTTTTAGCTTTTGCAATGAAATTTTATATCACAGCTCCCTATTGCCCGAAGAAGATTCCTATTGATTTTGAGGTCAAAAGGTCAAAAGTCCAGAACTTCAATTTTCTTTGAGTTTTTTTTTCGGTGAAATTTAATACAACAACTCCTTATGGCCTTAAGGTCAAAAAGAAGGTCATAAATTTATGCACTGCAAAAAAAAAAAAAAAAAAAAAAGGCTTCCAGATGATAACTCCATTTCTCTTTAAGCTTTTACAATGAAGTTAAATATAGTAACTTTTAGTGAATTAAAAATAGACTCCTATTTAATTTAAGTCAAAAAGTCAAAGATCAAGATCAGAAATTAATACAATACAAAAAAGGTTTCTGGATGACAACTTAAGTTTTCTATGAGCTTTTTAAAATGAAGTTATATATCATAACTTCCAGTGACTCAAAGAAACCCCTATTGATTTTTTAGGTCAAAAGGTCAAAGTAAAAAAAATCATCTCTTGCATAAAATCGTCTCCTGATGATGTCTAGTTCTCTTTGAGGTTTTTGCAATGAAATTTTATATCTTTCGTCAATATGACATTAAAAAAGGCTCGTATTGATTTTTTTAGGTCAAAGGGTCAAAGACCAAGGTCAGAAATTTATATTGCATACCTAGTTTTCAGATGATAAACTTTGGTTCTCAATAAGCTTTTGAAATAAAAGCTTAAAGGTCATGAATTTTTTTAACCTAAAAAAGACTCCCATTGACATAGGCCAAAAGCTGAAAGGTCGAGGTTGTCCCATCTGAATATTTTCCCCAATTCTTCTTATTTTTTCCTTAAGCGGGGGACACAGATTCTCTGAATTAGTTTTTTTTTTTGTTTAATTTTTCTTAAAATGAAATCTCTATGAATAGTTGTACAATTGTAAAACTAGTGTATCCAAAATAAAACATATTAAGATTGCTTATTATTACTGATACTAGTAATATTTAAAATGGAGAAATTGGAATGTTGGCAATGTCTTTCTTTAAAGAAAACATATACAATTAGACATTTTCGTATGTGTAAAGAAATTCTATATTGGATTCAGTTAACAAATCTGATTCAGATAAAAAATAAAGCAAAATGATTGCAGGCTTTTAAAGACTTGTGGACCAATGAGCGCTTGTTAAATGTCGTGGAGCAGCTGATTGGTCCAGAAATTTCGGGGCATCCTGTTTGGAACCTACGCACTAAAACTCCCCAGAACGAGGCTACTACAGTTCCTTGGCATCAAGGTCTATTTTTCTCTGTGCCACATTCGTTTATCGTTTACAACAAACAAGAAATTATATAAATGTTTTTTTTTTTAATTTTTTTTTCTTCTAAAAACAAAATGTATTGTAAAATTTCAAAACAAAAACAACAATTCTCTTACATCAAGATGCTGACAATGCTGACTTTTAAAATATGTTTTATTTATCTTGACTGTGCTGTCTGTTTGATAAAGAATAATCATTTCATAAGAAGTACCCGACAATTGTTATTGACACATCATTAATAATAAAATAACGACCAAAAAATGTTTTGTTTTCCTTTAAAAATTGTTTCCTATATAAATTTATACGAAAAAAACATTTCCAATTTTCTACTGATCAGTCCAAAAAAATCGAGGTTGGACCGCTGAGTGAGATATTTGACCTGTCGATGAAATATTGGACCGCTATTACGTTTTTTATGTCAAACTTTAGGCGGGATCAACTATATTTTATCAATTATTGCAAGATATATAAAATATAAAGTATAACAAAACATTTATTGACTGTGTTCTCTGGCAAAATGCGTTTTGTCGACCTCTCCAACCAACTGTTTGCATTCGGCCTAAAGGCCTCAAGCAAACAGTTTGGTTCTTGAGTCTGACAAAACACATGTTGCTCTAGAACCCAGTCTATAAATGTATAATGTTCGGTTTAAGTAACCACAGAGCCTAGTATCCGTTTGTCTTCAGAGGCGTAGTCACAAACTTAAAAGTGGGGGGGGGGGTCTCAAATCCAAGAAAGATCTAAAACCTGTAATATAATTAAAAGAAATTAACAAGCCTGTAGGAAGCAATTTCACTTTGCCATATATTTTCAGTTGGGGGCACTATCAATTACTAAAATCCCTTGACAAGCAAAAAAAAAAAACATTAAGTGGGGGTGGGCACAGACATACTCTTGCCCCCCCATATCTGAAAGTGAGGGGGGGCTACTGCCCCCCCCCCCCCCCCGGTGACTACGCCTATGTTTGTCTTAATAAGAAATAATGCATCAATTCAACGTAAACTTGACAAGGCTGAAATAAGGATACATACACCCAGTAAGTTATAAGAACTTCACCCAACGCCTCCTTTCGGATCAGAAATGTACATGTTTTACAAGTACTTTGTCTAGTAAAGTTGGGTTCGTATGTAATCATGGTTAGATCAAAAAATACTTTTTAGGTCTAGAATATCTTGTTATTCCACAGATAGTGCCTACTTAGACAGAAATTCATATACAGTTCTACAGCCAACAGCGTGGATACCACTTTTGGATGCAAATGCAGAAAATGGTTGCATGCAGGTACTAAACATGTATAAATAACCTTTCACCATGGGGTAAACAGATTTATTCTGAAAGAAATTTTTCATTAATTACTTGTTTTAAACGTTCATATCCAGGTAGCACACAAAGGACACAAGACTGGAAAAGTTGCAACTCACCAATGTTGCTATGGTAATACTTGGTATGTTATGCTGGAGGAAGGTGAAATGGCAAAATCGCTGGGTAAGCAACCTTCTAAATTCGTGTATAGAAATATTGTTGTTTTAGCTTTGTTAACATTGCCTAAATTTTAACATCATTTTGTGACTTTTTTCCTGAATCAAGGAATAAATCTTGAAAAAGACATCGTAACGTGTCCAGTTCCATATGGAGGAATGCTACTGTTGAATAACCTGATCCCGCATAGAAGGTAGGGATGTTACTGCAAAATACCACATCTTTTGTCCTGTATGAATGTATCTATATGCTGAACAATAAAATTAATACAAAGATGTTGTGCCTTTCTTCCTCTTTATTCATAAATGTAAAGCAGAAGTCTGAGATGATGATTTGAACCACAATAAATAAATAAATAAATAAATAAATAAATAAATAAATAATTAAAAAAAAAAAAGGGAGAGTAATTTCATTAAGATTTTGATCATTACATGTAATTCTTGACGGTGACATTTACTCCATGTCTGATTTAAAATCAACAATGGTAGAACTTGAATTTTTGAAAGATGTAAATTTTATGGTCGATAGAATGACCTTGTTTGCAAAACTATTTTTTTATTGAGTCGAATGTTGACTGAGGTCTTTCATACGAATTTACGGATTTTTCCGTTTACCTGATCATGACAAATAGCACACAGCGGGTGTAACCGGTCGACAGGGAATGCTCACTCCTCCATGACACCTGATCCCACCTTTGTTTTCAGAGCTCATTGTTTGCTCTGTTCACAATTTGTACAGTATTGTTTAATTGGACTTTGAGCCTGATTACTGTTTGTTAGCTTCACATTTCATCCAGATTAATTTTTAACGTTGCTGCTACTATGGACGTAGCATAAGCTCGTAATAAACTGATTTTTTAACGATAACAGCCACATCGCTCAATATTGACATGTTCTGGTGATTGAATTTAATTTTTCCCAAGATAGATTAATGAAAAGCAAAAATACAAGATAACAAGATACTAAACATATCGGCTCTTTGGTCGCTTAAAAATCAATATAAGATCGTTATTAATTCTAACATCGGATCTTTTGCAGCCTACCCAATCTTTCCAAAAAAATTCGTTGGAGCCTTGACCTTCGTTGGCAAAAACCAAACCACCCTGCAGGATTTTACGGAATTAAAGAGCACCTGTTATTCCGTACGTCAAAAAACTCGAGCCATAAGATAGACTGGTCAGGTTTCGAGGGGGAGAACCGATGGGACATCCAAAAAGAATACGTCAATGACCTTCAGGATGTACTTCCGGTTCGTAGGAGAGTAGAATATACTTCATGTTATGCTTATTGACGTCTCTTATAAATCCAAATATTTGGACAAAACATAAGCAGAAGTTTGCATATAAAGCTGGCATACTTTGATTGAATTTTAGGTACTTGGTTAAATCAAAGATTCTGTGTATTAATATACATGTAGTATTTCTACAAAAGAAACGATAGCATACAATTATATAATAATCATATCTTAAACTCAATAAATCCAATTGTTAAGTTAGAAAACATAATGAACAATTAATTCTTATATTTATTTCAATAGTAGGAGTTATTTCAAAAATGGATGCAACCTTATTTTGGTTTTGAAATGCATTGTTTGCCACTATTGAAATAATCATTTCAATAATGGTTGCAATCTAGTTTTGAAATGCATTCTCAGCCACTGTTGAAATTTCAGTAGTAAACTTTTTGTCAACTCTTTTCCTCTGAATGATTCTGCTCCGTTTGATTTTCAACTTATTAAACTCAAACACATATTAGAATCGAAAATGGCCATTTATTAGCAAAATGACGATCAACGTTTTCATATACACAACATATGTACAATATGGAAAAATAATAACAAAACATATGCTAAATAGTTATAGTTAAAATTGTGTCCCTGAAAATCAAAGGTGGGGGATCAACTTCTGCCAAACATTGCAACACTGCTATATCTGTGTTTCATATGAATATTCTTGATTTTTTTTTAAATCAAATATACTGTAAATACTATTTTTCACTGGAATAAAAGTATGGTCCACATTCTATTATACGAAAACTAGTTCCAAAATTTCTAATGCTTTGAACTAGCACTTGCTCTTCCAAATACAACTAATGAACACAACTCACTTTGGTACCATCACAATTCTATAAAGGTCAACGTTTGATAAAATTTTATTATTACAGAATGCTGAAGATGCTGACTTTGATACAACTATCCAAGGACCTTGGATGAAGAAGTGGGATCTAGTTCATCATAACACACACACAACAAAAATGGACAGCTCTAAGGGCTCTTGGCATGAAATAACAGTTAAGGCCTAATGTTGATTCGGACTTTGAAAATGCTGTTATGCACATGTACCAATATAATCTTTCACGCAAACGTTGTTATGCAGGATTGCTTCGGCAAGAGACTTAAACTCAGTAAATGAATAAATGACTTAATTTCAAAATACACAAAGAAGTATTTATATATTGTAATATTTTTGTCAATTATATTGATTATCAATTTTTAAAACTAAGTACACGACTTAAGTCTTGCTAATTTTCTTTATTTGATAAACTACATATCTTAAGGACATGTAAATATGCTTAACATTTTTTGATAAAGTAATTGATTGAGATGTGTTATTTTGAAACAGATGTATTTCATATAATGACTTCTGTGTCTGGTACCACTATGGATTCACCCAATTTCAGGATCTACATGTAGTTGGATGAAGAGCCATCTTGGCTACTGCTAAATATCCATTACTGGAGTGACAATCCTATGCACATCAACTGTATGTAAAGATGGTTCTGGATTGTTGATGCAACTTACCTCTTTCCTTCTTGTTCGTTCATACTAAAGGTGGGTTCTGTTATCTTCTGTAGTGGAGGTACCATGTTGCATGCATAATTATTTGCAGCTGCTTGATCCTTATATGGTCTTTGTAATACCAGCATACTCCATGTTATGCTTATTGACGTCTCTGTTGTTCAGTTACGGGCGTCCCATCACCCCTTTTCGTCCGGAAATTTTCTATATAAAGAATATCAAAGAATTTTCCATCGTGCCTGTGATATCAGAAGCAATTCTATGTAAAGGGGGCACTGATACTTTTCAAGAGGTCAGCAATTTAGTAAGATTTAACACAGGCACAGCAAATGCAAGCTGTTGCGAGTAGGTTTTCTGGCTTTTGACAAGTTGTGCTCTCTCTGCCCTAGATAAACAAGGAGGAAATATATATGGCATTGATAGCTTTTTGTTCATTAATTAACAGGGTAGGATGATCCATATTAACTAAGGGAAATATATGGTGCGTCCCATGTGACTTTGTCTTTGAGGCATCTTAAGAGCGATCTTGCTAGTACTCCAAACGCTCTCTTCATCACCCCAACGACTTGCACGCTGCCACTCGTCATCTCAGGACTGGAAATTCTGGAACAAGTTCAGCCATCACTTGTTGGCAGAACCTTCTGGGAAATGTTAATTTTGTTCTTCCAAGGAAATGAAATTACTGTAAACCAACTGTTATTAGGGACAAGTGAATATCCCTGCATGTATGGATGAAGATACATGTTTGGGATACTGTATCTTACACCTTCTAGATTAATAATAAGGGCTGCGTTCAAGCTCTCTATTTATGGTTTATCTCAAAATGTGACTATTTTGGCGAGGTAACTTTAAGAACTAGTCTGTGGGTTGGCTTTCGAATGTCATAGAATTATTCATGACCTATCTCCTAGATTTTTGTCTAATTTAGAAACTCAGTTAAAATTTTAGGTATTCAAATACATGTATTTAGAAATATCTAGAATATAAATCTGTTCGTATGGTAAAAGTGTGTTTTAGATGTGCAATTAAATATATAAAAGTTATCGTAGCGGTTTATCCAGTCGCTAAATTTTCTAGCTGTAAAGAATTGACAGCTCAATCGCCTAGCATTAGGTGTCAGACTTTTACAATTTTGAAAGCACCCAACCGCTCTATGATATTATGCTCAATATATTTGGAGAAGCTTTCTGCCATATTACATTTGTGAATGGGTAAAACGATCATACTTCAGATGCTGCAAATGACCCAAGAATACTAAAACTAGAGTTTTTCAGTCCTTAATTCAATTCCAAAATGGATATTACTTATTTTGACCAATCATGCATTGATGGTGCAATTCATGAAGCGTGTCAATACTCAAATTTTCTGCAAGAGAGATGTGATCAATACCAGTTCTGCTTCAGATGCCGTGTGTGATATGCATTTTCCTGACGAATAATGAAGTGATTTTTTTAATAGTTCCATTCTTTGCGACTTTATTTCCAACATTTACCAAACTACAAACGGTTCTGCAGATGACCTCCACGTTATAGATGAGTAATGAGGCGAAAACTCTTCGAGCAGCTTACTTCTTTACCAAGATTGGAATGAAGTCAAGCTCAAATCATATAAATATTTCACTGGTCATCAAAATAGTATTTCTTTATCAATTTCTGGCTTTGCTTTTTATAATGATTGCTCTCTTCTGGTTTCCTGAATTCCAACACAGATGAGTGTGCATTTGTCATTTGTACCATTTTGAATAATAATGCTATTGAATAACTCGAGACGATATCGGAGTTCATTTGTTCAAACTGCCTGTCTGGGTTACTTCAAGGAAGACAAACCGTAGAAATAAAACTAAAGACAACAAAAACTTAGGATCACATTCAATACTGGCTTTATTTAACTTCTAAGAAAATACATCTTTTTTTCTGAAGAACAGTAACAAGGTATATCTCCGATATAACATTAAAAACAGAACAATTCCATTTATTAAGGTAAAATATGTCACCAGTAATGTCCCATAACTCTTCATGCATCTTTCCATAAAAAAAATATTCAAATGCTGTTTAAATACCAATAAAATTGAAAATTTGAAATAGCTGTGCTTATACTACTTTTGAAGATGATTGGAAATATTATGATAGCTAGGAGTCATGGGACCTTGCTGATGGATAATCTGCCTTGATCAAATTCTGGAAATTAGTAAATTTTAATATTTCAGAGAGACCCAAGACAGCACTATTAATTAAATGGAGTTTATAATACAGGAAATTCTGAAATTTATTAATTACAGATTGCTGTTCTTGTACAAGATTTAACATATTTGTGTCATAGAATTCCTAACCCTCTGCTGCTAAATGGCTAACTTTAAGCCAGTTTACCTACTTAAAAACCAAGCAATACAATTCTGGTTCCAAAATTGTATTAACGGGAACATGCTTCCTAACTAAACAAAGTAAAAATACAAAGGGAAGGAGCAAGGATTTCGTTTCTGAACAGGGTATTTGGATATTAATAGCCGTGATATGAAGTCTGTATAAAATATGACAAACATATGATAAATCTATTGTAACAAGCACCTTGCATTATATATATCATTGATTTTCGTCTAACAAAAATAAAAATTCATTTTTTCCCCAACAGAAAAATACCTCTTAACTTTAATCTGAAAATATTTAGATGAATAAAATTTTCAGGCTTATCTTTGTTGTATACTACAAGATAAAAAGTAAAGGAACTTGAAATCTATCACTTAATACTAAAAGGAAAGGAAATGAAAATGTTATAGTGCCAGTTCTATGTTCAACTGAATGAAACTTAGCATCAGCAAAACTCACATGTAAAATTTAAGCCCAATTCCCTCTGATTAACTACTGAATTTATACAAACCAATTATCTAAAATTTAAAGATAATATCAAGAATATTACGAATCATTTCTCACTTTCTTTTCTAAAAACAAAGTATACAATGTACTCATAAAAAAATAATTAAAACCCCCAGAGTGGCAAATTACAGACTTCACAGATCAAACACTTGTTTAAATTTAAGAAAATTGAAATCTACTTAAAATGTTGCAATTAATGTGAATATTAAAATGGAAAAAAAAAAATTAATTGGACTACAGAACTCTCCACGCTTTGGAATAAATTTTGAAATCCTCATATTCTATTAGAATGTTTACCTTCTTAGTTATATGGATTGCAGTTAATGAACTTTAATAGAAAGATCTAATAGAACTGATAAAATTAGGGGCACTAAATATATTAGATGTCTAGAATAAAATTAACACAAAAAATGCTGCACTTAAATTACAGATAACAAACTAAAGAAAGATCATTAAGTAAAACAGTCAGTCAGAATTATTCTTGAAGTTCTAGTGACAATTAAATCTATATTGACAAATATTTAACAAATGAAGTATTCCAGAACAAGATTAAAACCAAATATATTTCCAATCACTAGAAGTTTTATGTTTATTTTTAAGATTTTCAGAATTTCTTACTTTCAGATATGTTACACATGAAAAGGTTGACTCCGTTGAAGAAATATGTAGAATTTAGGATTTCCATCATTATAAAATCCTCCAATAAAGTATATATAATATGTATAATATATATATATATATATATAATCTTGTTCAAAATGTATAAAACAAAAATAATGTTTACTAATGATAGATGAAGCCTGTGTGAATGGAATGATATTATCTGGGTATATCTATCACTGTAAACCAGGAACTTTTCTACACATCTAACAACTACAGTGGTGTGAAAATGATATTGTGACAGCATGATTCAAAATCTTTTTCTTTTCCTTTTTTTCCCCCTTTTCTTTCTTTTTTTTTTTTGTTTTTTTGATTTTTTTTTGTTTTTTCTTGTCTCCTTTTTTTTGTCTTTTTTTCTCCTTTTTTTTTTGTTTTTTGTTTTTTTTTTGAAAAAGTTTAAAAGTAACTCATATGAACCATTCATTTTAAATATTTTTTTTTTTTACTTTTTTATTTTTTATTTTTTTTGTTATAGGTATTTTCATTTTGAATTTTTTATTTTACATATAAGTTTTACAATTTTTTTGTTTTTTTTCTATTTTGTATTTTTTTTTAAACTTTATTTTATTTATTTATTTACTTTTTTGGCTTTTTTTTTTTAAATTTTACTTAAAATTATTTTATGCTATGCATGTTTGTTCAGTACACTGAAGTTAACCATGCAGGTTTGAATATATATTGGTTCCAGTTGGATGGTTACAAAGAGATACCATTACAGCATCCTCATCCCCAACAACTCAAACCAAAGTCAGATTGGCAATATAGGATTAAATATCTATTAAAGGTATATATATTATATAAATAAGCTATGTACAATTCTAGTTCCTTGGTTTACAGTGATAGATGCGCATCTATTGTTCTCTCTTACTACATGAGCTCTGAAGTCTGATTAATGAATTCATGTTACAATAAATAAAAAATATGGTACAAAAAAATCATATCCCTTCACGACCAACCTGGTCATTTTCAGTTTTCTTCAGGTAATAACAATGTTGCAAATCACGTCACAAATTTGCACTGGACTGATATTATATTCATATACCTGGGCATATGGAAAAATAATGAGTTATTTTTTATTCGCTACCCGTGAAAAATTTGTGAACAGTTATGAAATAATTGATCTCATTTGTAACAGTTAAGAAGATAACCCACGAAAGCATTAACTTTAAAAAAAATTGGGTTCTGATTCCTACAAAAAATACATTATAAAAAAATCTTAAAATGCACAGCTACGGAATTTCATTGATATATAATGGCTAAAAGTTGATTACATATACATGTAGCTACAAGGATGAAAACAGATTCAAATATCACAAACTACAAATAAATAACCTGAGGTAACATGGGCACCTGAGAAAACTGAAAACAAGTCTAGGTCCCCCTCTGGCTAAGCATTGTAATGTGTTAGGGACGTCAAAGCCAAATATTCTGAAATATGATTGGAAAATACTTGTATCAGCTTATAAAGAAGAAAAACAATTTGCAATAAAATAAGACAGTTCTACTGATGACAAAAATGCTGTTGAATTTTTTTTAAATGGCATAATTATTTTACACTCTATTTCTTCGTCGCAAACCATGGCCAAATGTACTATCCTCTCATATTGTCCCCATGGTTGAATGAAATGAGATTTTTTCATAGCTAATTAAAATATTGACCAATGCAAGTTAATTATAGTTGGAAAATAACCTTTGATAAGACCTTTCATTATCCAATCTCAATTTATGTAATATTTGTAGTTTATCATTAAATTAAATTGCAATATAAACAATTATTTTCATTGTTTTATAACATGACGTCACACATTAGGCCCTATTATTCAAGATTACAAGACAATATATGATCAAGCAGCCACAGGTAGGAGAGAGAGCTACGAGCAGACTCCATGGCTTGAGATGCTGACTCTATTTCTTTGCCATGAAAATTCAATTAAATGGAATTGTCTTCTAAAATTAGAGCAAATTTACGTGTAACACATCACAATGAAGAGCCCTGACTATACAGATCTATGTAATACTTCTTAACCAATTTAAATGCACCGATTAAAAAAACACAAACCAACAATTATACATGGTATACATATGGCATATGTATATAGGTACGTGGAAAACCCAACAATTCTGGAAAACAAGCGAGTCAGCAATGATCGCTGACATTACACTAATTAATATACATAGCTATCACACTTCATCATATTACACAGCTCTAGTTAAATCATACTTATATCTAGGAATATACATTAACACTCTGTTTAAAAATCCATAACATCAACATTATGTATGTACAGGGTTGATGCATATATATATACAGTTTATCTATGGAAGTAAAAAGAAATCCCACACATTTCTGTAACAATCATACAACCAATTATCATTTTGACTTTCTTTTTCTGTTGCCTTTCTTTAATTTGTTATCTTTTTTCATTACTGCAGACCAAAATCGGTAATTTGAAAATCTATTGCTACTATTAAATTTAGTGATCCTGGCTGATAAAATGTTTTTCCCTTTTGTTTAAAACTGCCACATGACAAAAATACATGTATATCACATGTCAGATATGAAAATCCACATTTTTATTATAGAATTTCAGTTTAGAATGAAAAATAGTACAATTTAAGCAAGATAACCAAACCAGCACTTGCATCAGCCAGGTTCATTTGTAGAAAAAAAAAAGAGACATATCATCTGCCATGGACGGACATCAGTGCAGGGATCTGCATGAGCAGACTTTTAAATATGACTAGTAAATTTGCATCATGATAATTGGTCCATATTCATTCAATCACAGAATACAAAGTCATTCATAAGAAATTCTAACAAATTCTGTTTTTCACCAAGCTGTCATATTCACTGAGTTCAAACTTTCTATCAAATAAATCTGGGGAAAATTATAATGGTTTGGATACACAACAGAGAGGTGGGAATGATTGGACAACTGTTTGACCCTCTCTCATATAAAAAAAATCAGTTGAGGGGTTCCAAATGGTCAACACCAACTACCAGTGGTGAAGGACCAACAGCTATATGGTTAAAAAAACTATGAAAGGGGATTCTATCATATAGAAGTCAAAGGATTTGTTCAGGGTAATCCCCCTATATACTTTTGCTGCCTTCTGACTAGGGCCAATAACTACTATGGGAAATGGCAAAATATTGGAATGAAGGATTGAAGGGGAAAATTATGTAGCCTGGTCTATTATCAATGAAATGAAGTTGCAGATTTGGCACAATGTTTAGCACTACTGATGCTAACAATTGGGGGTTACAGAAAATTTGTTTACAAGTTCTATTATGGTTTTGTAGGATGCTGGTAATTCCACACCTATTTGCATATAATCTGAATATTTTTAAGTATGTAAGATTTTTTCACCCTTTGTTGTAAAAGGGTATTTTTTCACCACTGAAATTTTAAAGAACTTGTAACAATTCTCTGCTAGTGCATACCTTGGGGAAAAAAATTGGAAAACAAAAAAAAATGTCTAACTACAATAGCATTGAGATCTGGATAAGATTACAACAATTTTCCACCTTATACACACAGTTATAGCACACAGGTTACAATGTCTATGTTTTCTATACACATCACACATGTCATGATATACAGAAAAAATTTAACAAGAAAGAATTAAAAAATCAAACAACAAAAATTTTATACAAATCTAACTTTGCATAATTATACTAAAATATACCATGAACTGCATCTGCTCTCTAATCTTAATCTGTGAAAGCTTCTTTAATTACAAAATATATCACATGCTTGTAAAGAAAAAAAAACCTTAACACTATTTAAGAGTTATTTCCCTTCCATTTTCATCGTCAAGAGTCGGCCTCCAACATTTCCAGGAAAAGCTTGTGCATCATGATCCTTCCATCTTTCTTCACATCAAACCAGTATTGCTTGGCAAGCAATTTCATGTGATTTAGAGCTGGGAGAAGCATATATAGATGTCCTAAGCGGCGGAGATTACCGACATAGCGATATTTGACATATTCAATCAGGGAGTCTTGTAATTTGTCTTGGAGCTGTCTCACTGCTTCACTATTCTCAATTGCCACATCTAAAATGATATTTTTATTCATGTATACAAAAGTAAACTACAGCATCATGGTTGTAGTAATTCTAGTAACATGCTTCACTGAAAATGGTATCTGATTTTATATGCTTTATATGCACAGAAACCTAATTTTATCACAATCAACATATTAATTTTGAGTTAATAAATAAAATTTTTAGTTTAATGATCCAGTATACCTATATTGCATAAAGTCATGGCTTTCAGCAGGAGATATTCTTCCTTTGTGACCTCCATATCTGTGAATTTTTTGGCAAGTTTCCGTGACAGCCCATCAAGTTCTGGGGAGCAGTGACAGAGTTTACACTCATCAACAGAGAGTTGAAGATCCTCAGCAAATTTGAGGTAGCCATTGTAAGGACAAGAACGAAATACAAGATTTAAACATAGGATTTCCAACCATGAATGCTGCAATAGGTTCATCTGGTCACTGAGGGAAAGGGTGCAGAATCCTGTGAAAAAATTTAGATGAAGTCAGAATAATATTGGTCTTCTACAGGGTGGTCTGTTTCTTACTAAAATTCTCTTAAAGAACTCTATAAAAGGATTCTGTAACTTAATTTCTTTCCCCTTTTAATTAAAAAAACAAATTTATTAACTTCAATATGCTCCAAAGAATGTCTTTTGAGTTTAATGATGTATTCATGAAGTGCTTGAAACTATAACCGTAAAATTAGCATGCAGGGATGATTGCTAATAAAAGTTATCAGTCCTGCCAAAGTTCTACTAGCCCCAGAAAATAATTGCCTTTTTCAAACTATTTTTATCACATACCGGTACATTGTATATAAAACCATATTAGTTGCTATGTCGTCTGCCTTGTGGCTGTCAAAAGTTGTTTAAAAGCTTCTTTGACTTATAGGACTAACTCAGCATAATTAAGCTTCTTTGACTAAGAGGACTCAACATAATTTGATTCCAATTACATAGACTGACAAGTTCTGCCACTTGGCTTGTTATGCCTTGCTTCTGGTACAGTTTTAAAATTGATTTGAGACAGATTTATTGGTGTAAATTTTGAATTAGTGGAAATTTTAACATGTCCAAATGGGCATCAATTTAAGTAAATTTCTTGGTCCACAGCAAAATTTATGTGTCTCGGGCAATCTGGCGCATGGTTATTTTAAACACTGACATGTTACTCATATGCTCCAAGAATAAGCAAACCAGAGGTCTCTGACAAGACTGTAGCTCTACTGGTTTGTACTTATACCAAAGGAAGAGAAAAGAATAATCTGTTATAAGATTAAGGAACCTGATGAACTTCAGTTGGATATGCACTTACCTGGAACCTGTTTGGCCCAACTGATGGTGATCACCAACTCTCTGTCGGCCAGATCAGATACAGTGGCAAGAAAGCGCACTTCCTCTCCCCCTTCCAGGATTTCAGACTCAGTGTTGACATACAGTTTGTCTAGCTGATGCTCGATGCTTATGAGTTGTGACAGAATTTTGTTATCTGAAGAAAAATCTACAGTGCAAAAACAGTTGTAAATACAGGTATATGACCAAAGTACAAAAAAGGGTTAAAATTATAGTACACTTAAGTTTATTATAAGTGGACAAGATTTCAGGACATATTTTACTATATCATTATTGTTGTTTGTGTTTATTGTGTCAGGTACCTGACTTGGTGGTTTCTACACAGGCTTTCTTGATCATGGGAAAAATCTGCTGCACAATTGGGCCAGAGTCAATGGTGCGCTTGTATTTCTGTCGTCCTCCACGGACTCGGTCCAGGCGAACCCCTACAAAATTAAAAAAAAAAAATTACATAATATAATTTTTTCAAGCATTAATTTATTAAACTTTGTTTAAATTATGGTAACACAGGGTTTTCATCATTGTTTATCTTGGTACACATTGCCATCTGGTTTATTGTCTTTTTGGTAAACATATTTCTTGCAAAGTTGACACTGGCTCACTCTGGCCTTTCATTTTTAGTGCTGTTTACTTTTTACGTAAATTTTAAACTTATGATTTTCAAAAGGTTTCTATAGGGACACTGTAACTTATTGTTGTTAGCTGTTGACATTTACTGGAATCTGTTTATCCTGATTGCATTGTATTTTTTTTGGTAACTTGTTCCTTTTGTTCTATTCAGTAATTATATGGGGCACATGTTTGCAAGGATTTAACAAAATAAGCAATGCATGGGAATCCCCAGTCAATGTCTATCTGTTTGTTTATAACCTAACTTTTCCAAGGAATAAAACATGGCTTTCTTTACAAGTGTTAATTTTTAACTTTTCATCTTCCCAATGAATGTAAATAAATATATTTCTCTTTCTTTTGGCATTTTTCCCACCTTCACCTCAAAAAGACAGATTGATTAGATTTTCTGAACATTGATTTTATTCCCTTTTGAACCCTTTCATAGTTCATTCACTGCATGTTCTTTGGCATTATTGGCAGTTTTACCAGAATAAAACACAATTTATGACTTGGGGCAGTTTCTGCAAAAAGATGTCTTGGAAAGCTAATTTGTATGTGGAATGATGTATCAATTATACTTGTAAATGCTAAAAATCAATTGCCTGACTTGTACAAAATCAACTCATTAATGCATATTGTGCACACCACTCTTTTTTTTCCAAATTAGGATGTCAGTGGGGGGAATTCACATAAACCAAAACCTGGGATTTCTATTATCCATTTGATTAAATCTACATATCTAATATCAATTCACTACAAATTGTATATGTCACAAATAATTGATCCTTAATTTTTACAGTATATCATGTTTCTCTCTCCTGCTTTGATATTTTCTTTTGTCATTATCTGATATGTAATTATTAATTTATCTGTTCACCAAACCACAAGTTCTCAACTCCACTGATTGCACTTGACTTTGATAAAGAGAGAGAATTCTACTGATGCGCTTCCCAGTGCTTTTCCAATAAACATCAGAACCAGCTTTCCACAAAACACTCTTTATTCCTGTCATGCCTCTCTTGGGGGTCATATGCACCATTTGTACAAAGTACAGGTGACATGATTACCTCATATAATGACATATATGGTTTACATTGTCTTCCTGTCCCCGATCATCAGATCAGACCGTGTTAACTAATGTCATCCTCCAAAGCAAGAACACGTCTCTACTTGATCTCCTTCAGACTTCCATACTTTACTTTTGATCTCACAAAGTAATATCTATTTTGAGTGAACAAAAAAATCCCCTTTTTCTCGAAACTTCTTATCAAAGAAAAAATGAAAATTTTATTTCTAGCTGCTCAACCTTGAGTCCCAAGGTGCTAGAAATTATTTCTACTTTTTCAGTTTTTTTACTACAGTAATTTGGAATTCAGTCTAGCAAGTTGACTATAAATGGTCAGCTAAAGTTTGAATCCTAGTTTGGTCTTCTTTTTGGGCCTTTCTATTTCAATGATCTGGTCACTATAAGGACCCCCCATACTCCAAATATTGACTCTGTCACCAGTCAAAGCCCCCACAGTAATTAACATATCCGTCACCTTCTGTAGGTCCCTGACTTCATTCCTGTCTTACCTAATAACATCATTGTGATTGGGATGTAAACTCAGCTAGACTGTCATTCTAGTGATTCTATGTATATTCTTGCCAAAGTGTTTAATCATGGTAAAGGTTAAGATCTAAACAAACACCATTCCACAAAGATAAACAATAAAAAATTATATCTGAATAATGTCCTATTAATGAAGTTCTGAACACATTTCCTACCTCCTGAACTGAAGAGCATTTCTGATCATGAACAGTTTACAAGGGACTTAAAGGACATTCTGGAAAATACTTGCTCAGCACTCAATTTTGAAAATATTTTTTTTATAACACAAAATGCAGTAGCCTCTACACAATCAATTAATATTATTTCCAATAGCTGTGAGATAATTCCCTTCAGGAAGAAAGAGTTTGCTTACAGCGACAACCATTCATCAATTAGTACAAGCACCTCCTTAGTCCTGCGTGATACATGTATACATACAAACATGATAAAAGGGATTGTGTTCCAGATCTCTTTGTTTTTGTATCTTTATCCCAAATTTATGTCAAGGCTACACAACCCTTGTCTTTAAGGTAAATACATGGATATTTAGTTCACCCAGCCCATATATGATAAGCATATTTGTATAAAAATAGCAACATAAAACATTAAGATATTCAAAATTGATAGAAACAACCAACAGTGACCAGATAGAAAGGTAAGACCACTCAGTCAGTAAAGCTCTACAACAGCCAGATGACCTGATATGGTTGACATGTTCACAAAATTGGCAAGGTGTGAGTGCATGAGGCTGATGGTTCCCCCTGACCAGACAAGGACAAGGTGACAGTCCCATTCATTATACTAAATCTGTCAGTATCAGCCTTGAAAAGCAGGACCTATATCATTTAGTACCCTTAGTTCACTCTTCTGACCAGGCCAGAAAATGGACCCTTGATCCAACTATTTATGCAGATACATGCAGACTCCAAAATTACACTTCAGTTTTCATCATGAATAAATCATACCAAGTTTCATTGATTGTTATATAATTTTCAGCTCTCTGAATATTTTATAAAAATAATTAACCCTTTTGCCCTCATGCTTTGTTGACCAATACCTTATTCAATGATTTACAAAAACTGACAATATGGAAATTAAACTTTGCACGATTCTCCTTTCATCCAATGTTCTGTTGTATGTGATTTACAGTTTCTTGGCATGTACAACAATGCATTGCATGATTCAGGGTATTCCGTAAGTGTGTCAGGGCCAATTTTTCAAAATTCTGCAATCTTTGTCCGCTGTGATGAAATTTTATCGGAAAGGACATAAAACGTTTATGCAGAACGTTTGTTAGGTATGAATGCAACTTTTTAATAAAAATTTTCCCTGCTATTGTGATGAAATTTAATGAATAGCATATTTCTTCTTTCATGTCCCATGTATGCATAACTAGATAAAAACAATCTAATGTGTAAGATTTTTTTTGTCAAGTGAAAGAAATAAAGGAAAAAAAAACAACAACAAAAATTAGAATCTCAAAATTAAATACACTATTTAATGTTATTCAGCTTTTGGTTCATATGAGGTTATTTTCTTACTATTTTACCTTCAAGTTGATGAAGAGAGACATTCAAGTCTGATGCTACTGCTTTTCGACGTATAATAAAACTAATATCAATAATAATGATGACATCACTATTACTTCTAGTATTTTGAGTTTGATTACTAGTAAATTATCTGTTAACATTAGATGACATATATTTTTTCCAAATGGGCAACTTTCAGTCAATCAGATTTGAGGATACCATCTGTTAAAGTTGTATTTAATTTCTAGTAATAGTGACCAACTATAGACCCCCCCCCCCCCCCTTTTTCCCCAGTGATCTGTATAAGATATATCTTTAAATTGAGGATATCCGGTCCTTAGCTAAGAACAATATCTCTTAAAAAACATGCAATTTTCTCCAAAAGCCTGGATACCTACATTTTTTTCATCCTAAAATATATTTGTTGATCAATTTTTGATTAGAAAATACAGCTGTTGCTTTTATACACATTTCCTGAAAACATATTTGAGATTTGATAAATTTCCCTATATAAAATGGTTAACTATAATGATGAACTTTGAGGAATACACTTTTGTGAATTGAGAGACATCTCTGCAAGCATTTTCAATTACTTAAATGCTGATTTTCAAAACCTGTGGATCGAACTACCTTAAGTGATATTCAATATCACGACTCCCCATTATTTCAATGAATTGCACTTAACATTTTTATTTGTAGCATGAGAAGGAACTCGATCATTCAATTCCATACCCCATGTTACTGATGATCCAATTTACACAATTACTACAGGAAAGATGTTCATCAGCAATGGGAGCCAGGAGAATTCATACACACCATCAGATTTAATTAACTTTGGAGAAAATTTACCATGTTCAGGATCATAATCACTGTGAGTTTGATGTCTTGTCAACATTTAAGTTATGGAGTTGGTAGAGACTGACAGGGTTGACTGAGAGCATATCAAGTGCAAGAAAATCAAGAAATTGTATTTCCATGTTGCGATTCTAGAATAAAATAATAATTTCCTCAGAACACAGACTCCATACAATAAACATAGAGAGCCCCTATCTCCCAGTTGTGTTTGAAAACTTCTGACAATATTTCCACCTCTTGATTGAACATCTTCCACCTGCCTTTAGTGCCTTATCAGACAATGAATCCATTATTAAAACAATAGTGCTTAAACAACAGAATGTTGCCTTCAAAGTATTTTAGATACAATGTACAACAGACGAATTTCCTTGTAATTCAAAGCATTTTAACTTTACTTCATGCATGTTATGGGTTCAGGTGTTGGTGTAATGAAAAGGTGTGAAGCATATAACAGCTGTAAGCATATGGGGTGGGGGAGGGGGGTTAAAACTGGCAAAATTCAGAAATCAATACTGTAAACCAACTTTTATTCGCGACGACTTTATTTCGCGATTTACCGGGGATAAACTAGTTCGCGACGATTAATTTTCGCGATCAAGCTTTTTTTAAATCTGTTGTTAATAGAAAGAGAGACTTTAAGGACCGGTTCACGGCGAGAAATATTTGCGATGACGAGGCTCTCGCGAACATCGCGAAAATTTCTCGCACGCGAATAAAAGTTGGTTTACAGTAAATCATACAAGAAAGTGAAAACATCTCTTTTTTTGCAGAACATTTAGCCTTATTCAGCCTTTCAGTGAGGCAATATAACATTAGGATGGGATAGCCTTGATTGCAAAAACTAGATCAGCATCAGTTTTGAATAGGATCACTTAACTGACCCTATAATGCACCAGCTAGAAACATCTAAACTTGTATCTTAGGATGTTTATAGTTTGACACTGACTCAGAAACTAATGGAAAACCAATCTAATGCTACATCTACGGGAATCTGTTATTTGTGTTGGCTGCTGTTAATTAGATTCTGTCTGCTTAATTCATTTATTTTTTTTCTTTTCTCCCACACTTTGCTACAAAAGCCAGAATGTTGATATACAAATTTTTTTTCCTCTAAAAACTTTGCTACAAGAGCCAAAATGCTTTTAAATAATCCCATCCCACTTAAGACAACATGCCCTGTTTTTGGAATGCTTATATTTCCCCTATTATTTTATTCACGCTGAGAATGAAAAAAATGTCCCAAATCATCTCCCCCCACCCACAACTTGCTCACTTCTGTTGTTGGTAGAAGAAACCTGTTGTCATCCTACTATAATGACAAGCAATGAAGTGTTTTTATCGGAAGTCGGAAGTTGCCTTTTCAATACATCAATCTCCTTAGCATTGACATCACTTTACCAAACATTTGGCAAGAGGACCAAGGACAAATAGTTACATGTTTGTAAGTTACTGACACCAATAAGGCTCCTAATTACACGCAGTTAGGGGTGATGAACACTGCCAACACTGCTTTCCTGCTGTTATCATACTGTATAGTCTTGTGCATGTAGGATATAATGAGACAAAGATCTTACAGTTTTATTGCTTTACTAACTTGTTTTCCACATGATTCACAAAATAGGCTTTCATTTGCCCCATGGTATACTGCACTGTAAACAAGAATGCATTGAAAAAAGGGACCAATCCCCACAGGTTTGATATGGTTTGCTGATACTTTAGATTCTTTTTTTTTTACTTTCACAAATCTTTTAGGTTTTTACATGTTTGTGTGGTTTGAGGATAGCAAGTGTTTATGTACTTAGAGGAAACCTAGTACATAAAGATTAAAGAAAACAAGAGAATGGGTAAATGGAAGTTTAATATAAATTAAGATTTGTGTATTAAGTACAAGGAAACTCGATCAATTTTAAAATAAGTAGATTAAATATAAAGAAGATTAAGGGAGTGCAGAGTGGGCAATCTGTTGATAAGATCTTTTTCATTCCATATACTCTCAAGATTAAATTGATAAAAATCTTTAACATCTTGCATTTTATCCTGTTATTTATATCCTCAGCAAAACAATACAACATCAGAACAAATTAAAAAAGCAATAATTTTTCAGACAAAATATTGAAAAAAAATAATTATCTTAACATTTCAACCTATATACATGCCTTTATACATAGCTTAACATTTTTTTTTTTAATTTTGCATCAACAGGAGCTGGTGCAAGTCTATGCCTTGATTAAACTTGTCATTCAGTTGGAAGTGTGAATTTGAAGGTTCATTTCTTATTATCTTAGCCTAAAACTTAATAATTTTGTTCTTAAATCAAAAATTTGAACTCTCGTCCACCCAAATTATGACTATAAACAGTCTTAATTTTCAGTTTTGCCTTAATTTAGTCTTTTGATAGCTTATTTATAGATTTCTTTTAACTTTTTAAATAACCACATAAGGATATTTGACTTTATATTTGTTGAATTCTGCTTATCACTACATATCTACTCCTATCGCTGCATAAAAAACAAGCCATCTTGCTGGGAGAGATCAATAATAAATCATCGATTTGGATCTTAATCAATAAACACTTCACAAACTTAATTTCAAATTATAAAATTTTATTATCCCATTCTTTAAATTTGCTGAAATCTCACTGCCGAAATCTCTGAACTAAATTAGATTTGAGAAAAATGAGAGGCTCTCTCAGCTCATCTCAAATTATCGAACTTACGAAAAATGTTTTTTAAAAAGACCAACTTATAAAATGATTTGATTCCTTGCCAGGGAATCAGGTATAAATATTTCATTGAACTGCTTTAGACATCCTTGTTCAGACTTGTGAATATATTTACCTAGAATTGCAAATTTGTTGAAATTTATCATTTTTCACTTAAAATAAATTTACAGGAAAGAATTGAAATTTGAACACATATAACCATTATCTTAATTTATACATTATGCATTTCATTAACAGATTTTTCATATTAAGACATACTTATGCAAATATTTACTGGCTTATAATTAATGAATTTCGGCACTTTCTGAAACTAACACGAATGAGTAAAAAATATTAAAAACTTGTTTTTTCCAAAAATAAATGAGGCCTGTAGTGCAAAGCATAAGGATACATGGGGATGAATGTGACCTTCATTTTATATCAATTTATTTACTGGGGAAATCATCTTTATCCTACCTTCTCTGAGCATGCCCACTCGAAGACACTTTTGAAATCGGCATGCTTGGCAGGCCTTTCGCCTTCTTTTGGTAATTTCACAGTCACCATTGGCAGGGCAAGAATATTCAATATTTCCTAAAAAGAGAGAACAAAATAACATAGAAGAAGCTTATCTAGAACAGTCAACTATTTTTTGGTAGAAATAAAAATGCATCAAAAATTTTTGTAGAAATTTGGAATATTTTCAGTGTGTGGATTAAATTGAATACTGGTATATAAAATCTCTTGTTTTTAACTGTACTAATTGTATAGTGCATCTCTTGTAACACAGAAATTTGTTTACAGCACTCAGTTTACTAATATTAGTGTCTCACCCCAAGTTCACAGAGGTTGCAAGAAAAATGATAGTTGTTAGTGAGACAGCAAAAGAGTTCTAATGTTGACAACACTAAACTATCTGTCATCACGTGAATTTTAATCATGTAATAAAATAGGCAATTTAACCATACACAATAAAAAGCATTGAAATTGGCAGAGATTCATCCCCCTGTTATTCAGGATTTCCAAGTGTTTTATACATCAATATATATACGTCATCTCTGAAGAGTGTCTTTTATATAGTTTGCCATAGAAATGCTACACTTGATAAAGGATCTTCAATTGTGTCAGTCAGAAATCATATCTTTATGTACCTAACAATGTGTAAATACATGGTCACCATCTTTTTTTTTTATCTAAATGCACTGTACACTTCTTAGACATTGCTTTTTTTGCAAATGCATTAAATTCAAATTTGATTTAGTACTAGGCCATCTTTCAAAAAATGCAAAATGTTGGTTGACAGGTAGTGAATCCCCCCCCAACCCCCATCCCCAACATTTTCAACACCAGTGCTGAATTTCTAAATTCATTGAAATTGAAGGTGTTAACAAAATTAAAATAGTTTTTGATGGTATGAGAAAATACATAACAAAAAATAATGGTTTCTTCAAGGTTTTTAAAAAAAGTTTTGAGATGGGCCATTTTTAGTCAGTCGTTCGGAGAGGGCAAACAGAATTTTTTTTTTCAAGATAGCCCTAACTGTAACTTTTATATAGTACAGAGAACCCGAGTGCAGGCACTGTCTGGGAATGCATACACTTCACAGAAATGTGCATATATCATACTGCAGATTAATGCAAATAAGTGTACAATTTAACTAATCAGAGATGCCAACTTTCAGATTTCTGAATATGTTTCAAAATATGGCTGATTTATATTGCATTAAATCTATACATTGTACTTATGCAAATTGAAACATTAATGAAGAAGACTGTCTCCTGCCACTAGAACGGAACTTGTCTATTGACATAATGAAAGTGAAGTTTGGCGGTGTGGTACAATCAATATGCGACCTGAATTCATCATCTGTCAATCTGTCTAGCAATATGACTAGGTGCCATCAAAGCCCATAAATATTCTCTTATACCCATGATACAACAAGGACAACTTATACATAAATAGGTTTGGAGTGGGTTGCTCTAATTCTATTTAGTCATTTTAGGTTAAAAATAGTAACTATTCAATAAATATAAAGTTTGACAGTTTTAATATGATGAAGCATAAATCTGCCATTTTTGGTCTTTTATAATAAGATTATAGTAAAGTTAGTTCTCGAAAACTGGTCTCGATATTTAGTCTATTTTTCATACACTTTTCGTAATTTTTCATCATCATTAACAGTTTTTCTGGGTCATTGAATTAATCCCTTAAACACAAGTTTCTTACTGCAAGTTGCTCAATCTTCAAGACTTATTGACCTTCAACCAAGTACATGTACTTGATTTCAGGATTATCCTGAAATTTCTATAGATCTTTAATGAATTAATAGTTTGACTACCAAATAAGGGTATATCGGGATAATGTACCTTGCAATTCTTTTAATAAAAAGATCTGACTTTAAAATAATTAATTGATGCAGAGTTTACGCCATAGATAGCTTTTTTTATATCCAACATACGTACAGATCGTATGGTTTGTGCGTACAAGAGTTATTTTTAGAAAAGAAGTTTCTGTTTTACGTCATTCCATTCAGGCTGTGAAGCAGAGGTTCCCCCGTCAGAAACAATTAAAACAAACCAGGCTGGAATAACTCTTGATTAGTCTTATCTGCCAAAAATACACACAACCAATTTGTATCAAAATGTCAAAAGAATCACCCCCATAAAGATAACAAGTATGCAACACTGTCTTTGTCTTTTTTGACTCTGCTGCATTAAACTTCAGTATCTGCTGCATTTCACAGAGGGATGCATACCCAATCTCCAGAAACAAATGGTGGAATGTAAATTAACTTCCTACAACAAAAGACCTGTGCCAAAGTCATCAATATTTAATCCTTACATCTGGTAGTGACATTCCAGGTACACTGTCCTATTTTTTTTCTCTTAATGCCTAACAGATTAATCACTTACAATTAAGACATAACATTTGTCCCCTGAAGAGTTGTCATTTTATTGGCCACATTGACACTAACAATTTGTTTTTGAACAGAGTTCTCTTAAGATTTTTGATATTAAGTGCTCTTATAAGTGCTCATGCACCATCAATCAATTCATCTCTTTTGGCACAGCTACTAACAATATATATATAACATGATGTGATCTTTAATACCTGGCTCATCTGTTTATTCTGCAGTCACAAAACAGATAAGTATTGATTATTTCCATCCAGTCTGATATTCTTCAGATTAAAACAACAGCCACAAAGGTGTCATTAATTGAGAACTACCTAAGTTTACACATTTTTCAGTATTTCTTTCTTTCTTTTTTGGTGTTGCAAGCATAACCTCATGATTTTTTTGGGGGGAAGCATTTTTACTGGGAAGCTTCATCAACTGAATAATGAATTATAGGCATAGAAGATCAATAAATAGCTCTCCCCCACAATCAATTGGCAGGCACTGCCTTGTGAGGTCTTGGGTGGGTCATGTTGAGTTCAGTAACCTTTTATAATGATAAGAAGCCAAATATAAATTGATGATGGCACAGAAGAGATTTATGTAAAGTTGTAGCCATAGATGAATTCCAAAAGAAAACTCTGACTGATATTCTGGTTTTTACAATAATATCTATCATTTGGAATTGAAATTCAATACAACTTTTTAATATGCATGGCTATAAAAATGTTTTCAAAATGATCTATCAATGTCATGCAATCTGATCCATTCTTATCTCTACCACTGGAGAAGACCTTAAGGGAGATAATTCAAAACCTTAAAAAATTAAAGTACAGATTCATGTTGTCTGATATTAATCATCATAAACTTAGCAAGTTGAAATCTTTTGTGTAAACATCATTGCTATCTTGTCCAGTGTTTAGTATGTATAATCTTTATTATTTTAATATTATATATATATATTACTGCACTTTTCCAATTTCTTTAGTATAGCTGAATTATTATAGATCTTTTGCAATTCAATAAAATAATTCATGATATGAAGAAATTGGAGGCTTATGATTTAAAACACACACACACACACACACACACACACACAAACCCCCAATATCTGATGTGCAATTTACAACATAACCACTGAGTTTGATCAGATAATATCTAAGATATATATTTTAAATTAAGTACCGGCCATAGATGAATTTTTAACTAAAAATGTTACACATACTTGAGCATTTCCATCGGGTCTCTGAATATATATTAAGATATATATTTACTGCTTAATATCTGAAGCAAGCCCATAAAAAATTGAAATTTCATGCATGAGTAATGCACCTCTATAAGGTCTTAGATATTTTCAAAGGTTGAACACCTTTTTTTTCTCTTTAATAAACAACCTGACTGGAAAGTATTGTACAAGAATGATATTGGGGTGAGGGTTACACAAGCTTCATTAAACAGTGGGAAATGTAATAAAGACTGCCTAGCATTCACATCTTCTCCTGAAAACACCACTGCAGCACTTCCAAATGAGTGAAATTGTTTACACTTACTGTGAAGATGGCAATTTAAAGGAACAGAAGCCTATTGCATGCACATCTACTTAGTTTTAATGAGGAATGAACAATAGCAATTACCACAGATAAATTCAAAATAACAGATTTGAAGTGCTCAAGATAGCATTGGCATCATCTCAAGAAAGCTACATATGGATTGAGATGCTTGTTTCCCAGATAAAAAACAGTCCTGCAACCTTTCCAATCACTAGCCTAAAGGGTGCTGAGCAATGTAACCTTAATACCGGCTTTAAAAAATGCACCTAAAACTACTTGGTGCATATATCTTTCAACTGATAAACTGTTCCCTCTTTCTATGTGATTTTCCAAATTGATTTAATACTTACCTTGGCTTTCCCAGCATAATAGTTCTCGCTTATACAAATATAAAAACTTTGGACGACTTACATCTATTAACCTTTACATCACATGTAACCCAGAAATTCATACCATTCCATTTACTCTTTGTTCCTCCTCTAAAAAACGGGTATTACTATAAAGTCAGTGATAAATGGTTTGGGCATTTGCCTTGACCCCAAACTTTGTAATCAATACATCAATGTCAATTCCGGTCTGTAATCAGATGACAGGGCTAAGTTCAGACCTTTTTTCACTGGGTATTTACTCACTACTATAACAAATATTAAACAGAATGTCTTTTGAGATGTGTGCTACCTGTAGAGGTCAAAGAAAGAGATATATACCAAAGGTTGATTGGTACTGTTATATTGATTGAGCAGTCTGCAAATAGAACTATTTATTCTGGACTCAATTAATGGGTAATTCTGACCAAATGAAGATTTCATGTTTGTGCAGGAAATTGCTGCTGTTTGTATAACAACTATTCTACTGAATTGTGACATCAAGCCTATTTGACAACCACCAAATGATGCTTTAATGAATATCCAAGATTGCTTTTATTTACTGCCCAAATAAAAATGATTTAAGAGCATTGCCATTGCACCACAATTATATCAAATTAAGTACAGGCTAAGTTGTTTTTAATTATAGAAGTAAGAGAACCTGCACTTGCATAAGAATAATTGAAACTGATACACAAACTGAAGTAGACTACAAAATAAGGCTGGAAAATAGTGAAGCAAACCAAATTATCCATAACATATATAAATATTGTTGCCCGACCTCAAGAACCTTAGCTATATTTGCTTAAAAAGAGCTAACTGTATAAAGGTCTAAAGACTCCAAGAATCCATTATAATATTTGACCCCAGTGTAAGCTCTTACAAAAACAACTTGTTTGCATAACCTAAAATAGGACAACATTTTAGTACAACCTAATGTTATAATGCTGAAAGATATGGGATTATATGACACAGAAACTTTAAGAAAATTTCATTAATATTAACTTCCTGAAGTAACATTATGTGACCTGAAAATTCAGAGAGACACTTATAACCTTGAACAATCATGATATTATGTACAGTAGAATATCTGGAATATGGTTTATTTTTTTTTTTTTTTACAGAAATAATACTGAAAACAGTAAGACTATCCCTACACCACAACCAGAAATTACAGTTGAACTTTAGTATCTCAAACACTGATCTCAAATGCCATGGATATTTTAAAGTGATTTGGAAGTCCTAACCACTTATTCTTTATGTATTTTACCCTTGATATCTCAAATCAGATATCTCGACATTTTTCCTCTCAGTCCAATTGAGTTTGAGATAATGATGTTTGACTATACATTGTCTACACAATCTCCAACCTCCAACTCCCATCCTCACAGAAAAGACTCTCCCCCCCCCCCCTCCCCTGCAGCATGCTCTTTCTGAGCAAGGGTGTACTTAATTATTTCATATCATCTTGCTTGTCATATGTCAAATCTTATTCATTTTAGGTGATTTTTTTGACCAGAATTTTATTTCCGACACCAGCATTTTGACATTTGAGTAGAATAATGTAAAGCAATAGATTATACAGTGTCGTAAATAAAACAATAAAATTCAAAACTCATTCATATTTATATCACCTATTTGAATTTCAAGTAGCCTTGTCGCAATTAAATTTATGACAAACATTTATTACCTAGACAAACTACCATACGCCTAGAATGCCCTAACTACCCCTGCCATCTAGATCTGGTTCTAAACTAGATGAAACCATCATTGTGTATACTCTTTGAAATTTTCTTGCTCTGCTATTAAAAGATGCAGGAAGCTAAATCTGATCTTCATAATTCTTTAAATGAAAGATGAAACAATGAAAACTGTCCAATGCTCCACATATCTGATATATGAATTGCTTTTGAATTTGTTTCCTGCATGCACCAGGATTTGAAACTGTCCCTTGTTCTATAAAATGATTAAAGTTTCAAAAAAGTTGTGTGTTATGAAAATTGCTGACCAGCAAAGAACATAAAAGGTACAATTATTGAGTGATCTATTACATTGATTGAATGAAATGAAGCACACATAATGACCTAGATTTAAAAAAAAACCTTTTTACGCAAGTATTTAGAGCCATTGTAAGAATATCTGAACATTTCAGGAGACTTTTTGGCACAGAAACAATGTCTCTCTACATTAATCGGTCACAGTTGATGCAATACTTCCCGCTGTATTGGTCTGCCTTAAACAGTTCTCCAACGTCACTTTACTCATTGCCTAAAATTACAGTAAAATGTCCAGCATAATGACCTATCATAATTTAATGATTTTCAAGGTACCTACGTGGTCTATGCATATATTACAAGAAGCACTGACGTAGGTTATTTTCTTCAATTTTAATCTGGGTGGCAATCTCCTTTAAGGCTATCAGAATTCTTTAGAGTCTTTGAGTCAAAGTACGTCGTGTGAATAATAAATTCTTTAAAAAAATAACATTTGATAAGGTGTGCTAATCTAGACCCAACATGCCCAAACCATGCAAAGATTTAATTTCCATATACCCAAGCTCAGACAGCCTTGAGGATTTGAAATTCATTACATCCATACTAAAATACATCTTTATTTCACTTTGTGTCTCTAAAAACAGTCACTGTACAGGGGAAAAAAAAAGATGGCCAGTGACCTCAGAATTACTTTTGAACTGGTTATTTGGTGTGAACTAAGTAGTTAACAATGAACAAGTCTTCCTCTAGATTACTGTTTATAATACACTGTACTCTCTATGTACATCCTGTTTGTCATAATACAAATTAAGTTAATAAATAGTACATCTATGAAAAATCACTTCCTTCTTGCTGTTGAATTACCCAGTCTAAATAGCTTATCTCCATGACTTTAGCTACCAAGTAATGAAACATTAACTTGTATGAGATCCTCCATTTATCATGTTTATTATTTTTCAATCAAATATCCTTGTAGTTAAGTACAATAAACCTAAATTTTAATGTTTAATGTCCATATACCCCCATCTTACATACACTAAAAACCTGTTTTGCTTCATGCAGTGATATTTATCAGTCTGGTATTTACATGGTGAGTATTAGAAATCAGGGGTTCAAATCCCAGTTGAATCAGTTTAAATCTGACTTTTTTAATGTAAGGTGCTACACATTTTGCAGCTGCCAAAGGGTTAAGGTGATGGGTCTTTCAGAGGGTTAAGGTGATGGGTCTTTCAGAGGAGACTTCCAGGACTAAGGTCCCCTGTCACAGTAAGTGTTCATTTGATAAAGAACCCCTCTGTCATACTGGCATAAGTCCACAGACAGGTTCTGTAATTGGCACTGTATCTATAGCTGGTGCTGATAGGAGCAAACTATTCTACTAGGGACTGGAAACTCCATACAATGAAATAAACCAAAATAGAATAATTGTCCAATCCCCCTCAGCCCTAATAAATCTCTAGTAACAGACTCTGTCTATGGCCACTGCTAAGAGCTATATTTCTAAATCTTCTACCTTACAGTTAACCTCTTCTGATATATCACATATAGGCCAGTGTCTAAAGTTTGTTCATATTTTATCAGGTGTAACAGTTCAAATACCTGTATATAGGTCAGTGTGTCAGAAACTTTCTCAGTACATTTTGGCCCCTCAATTCTGTTAAGAGGTGACAACCTCAGATTTCATTTTTCTTACAAACATAGCACATCATTCTAGGTATTTGGCTTCTATTGTAAGATATCCATGTTATCTTGAAATTGGACACAAGGTATATTTCTATTGTAATGTACATCAACAGGTACTATGCATTTTGAATGACACATCAGAAACCAGCTGACATGCTTCACTGCATTATTAAATATAATAGCCCTTTAGAATACCTATGGTTTGCAAAGCAGATGATGATTTCAGGGGCCTCTGTCATTGTAAACTTCCTTGTACTCCGAGAGCATCATAATTTGATAAACAACTAAATAACTGTTTGGAATTGTATTTTTGGTGCTGAGGCTGATTACATTAATTCACATTGACTTACCTTGGATAGTTCTTTTGAAGAATGCTTTACATGCCTCACAAGAAGACACCCCATAGTGATAGCCTGATGCCACATCACCACACACCAAACATAGTCTCTTTGGTAACTCAATGTTGTCCTGATCACAATTAATGGAATTTGTGATGGAAGTAGCAATATTGTTAATGAAGTCTAATTTGCTTGTGTCAATAGGAGATGAACTTTCATCAATGCTGCAAGGGGATATGTTACCACTGTTGTCTGCACTGTTGCCTTGGTAAGAACCATCTGAGCCATAATCGTCATTGTGATAGTCTGCAAAGACGTCGCGGCCGAAGCTTTCTTCCAAGGACAGGGAATGGCCACATCGACTGAGACCTAACGGGCTCCCCGGCTCCATCTTTATAATATCGACATCCATCATGAAGCCTGTTTAGTTTGGGAACAGTTCAATATCAATATATTTTTTCTCTCAAGTTTCTCACCACACAGGAAGATATTTTCTTCAATAGTTCCAAAGATACTGGACCGGCAATTGTCACTTTCTACGCTATTTTCTTTTTCTGTCTTTTATCACTGAAAAGATATCAATAAAACACATTTTCAATGCCACATTGCAATAATAGTAAAATTGATTTTTAAATACTTTGTATTTGCGTCAGCAGATATTGTGAGGACCGTATAATCGTGGGGGGAGTTCAATAGACACATTCTGTAGATCAACATCTGATCAATGAATTAATGTAGTAGTAGTATGTGTAGATCTGTCTGCTAACGTCAACTCCTTCAGCAGAAAAAAAATTCTATAACATCCACAACAAAGCAAACTGACTTGAATCGCGTCGCCACACAAATTTTGAATATGCCTTTCATTTACTCAAATTTGAAAAAACTCTGGTCTTATAATAAAATACCTTATCATGCTTATTTAACATTTTTAATGTTTTGAGAAGATAAAATGATGGTAAGAAAAGGTATTATTACAAAGTCAGACTTATTTCAACATTTCCAGGAGCACAAAAAAAAGTCTGAAGTTCAGCAGAGAGTTCGACAATATATGTCAGATAGAGATCACGCTGCATGCTCCCCCATCCCAACATATGCTCTTCATACATTCCAGATAATAACCCTCTGTGTGCGTAACACTGCTTGTTTTCAGACAATGACGCAAGAAACCACTGTTCATATAGATAGCTCTCATTTTTAGCAGATATCTAAGTGAAAATTCTTTTTATATTAATAAAATTTTCTATACCCCATATTTTGTTAACCTGTATTTGAGTAAAAATGCATATCAAATGGTTAACCAGTCCAAGGCTGTATTTAGATAACATGTCAAACAGTCAATGAACTTAAATGGGCATAAGATTATTAAATGACACTTTATACAGCAACCTATATTTTGAAGTACATTTTTACAATGCACTCATATATGACAGCAAAATCTCTCTTCTTAACAGCTTCATAAACTTTGACTATATTTGAAACCTACTATAAAATTCTACTGTTGTCATAAAGATATCTATCAAAAGACAGACAGACAGCAAACTCTGCAGCCTGAATTCAATGATCTGTGCAAAACAGGTAAGTAGACCTGTTATCAAATGCAGACATTAGTAAAACCTAACCAAAATAGCAGTTCAAGTGGCCCTACCTCATAGAGGAACAGGTATCCTACTACTATAGATCGCTTTATGCCATGTGAGTCTTGCGCAATATCTCATATACATTTCTAGCATGGTGCAAACGTGACCCGGTTTTTCAGAAGAATTTCATCATACATCATAAGTGTAAATACTAACAGGATGTTTGTGTGTGGATAGTGCAGCTTGAATTATGGTATTATGTCATAGTAATATCAATGTAACTACTTTTTTTAAAAAGTGTATATCAGATCAACCAGCTAACACCACATTACTCAGCCACTGAAGGAAACAAAGGTCCTCCAGTGTAATGAGTTTTCCAAAATTAACAGGACATTCAAATTTCCATCTTTTTTTCCGTTTCAGATATATACTTTTTCCCATGCACTCATGCACTTATTGTTACATACATTTTATGTAGACTTAATTAAGTGAAAATATTTTCCTAAATAAAATTTATGAACATATATTTTAACTGTTAAAGGATTAACTCAAAATTAAAACAACAATAGTGGCGATTTTTAACAAAAACTATGCACTAAGCTCTAAGGCAGTAGCTGCAAACTACAAGTCAAAGATGTTGACCCATATACATGTACAATCAGCTGTGCCTAAAAATCAGCTGATCATACAATTCACTTGTGATTTTTACCTATCTACTATCTACCAATACCTATCAAAAACTTCCTACTGACCTTCTTTAAATGCTAGATAGCTCCTGTGCATCAAATATAATCCAAATTTATTGTATTTTTCTCAAAATTCAGTACAAAATTACACCAAAGCCTGGGCACACAATGCCGGCTACTTCACCATGTGGTCTAGAAATGCTCCTATTTCCTGCTTGCTCTACCTTCACACTCGCGTGGAGGATTACCAAGTACACAGCTGAGTGATTGCCTATCTCTTCGCTAACAGCTACATATTTTATTCTGTGTCACATGAATTTAAATGTGCTGATTTTTCAGGTAGTGGTTGGTAAAGAGCAGAAAAAAAACATCTAGATCTACTTACAATAGGTATTTATCAGAGAGATTTGTTTATTCACCTCTGTAAACACTTTTGTTGTGAGATTATCTTAATTAATTCTTTTTCATCCAGTACAGGTATATTTTTCATTTGTAGCATTTGTATTTTTTCTGTAAGTAAAGATATTATTTAGATATTAGAAAAAAAAATTAAGAACTGATTCTGTTTATACATTAACTTAATATTGAAAACCATGTTTTTACAGTCCTGACAAAATGACAAACACAGTTTCACAAATAAACAGGTAAACAAGATGTAATTGATTAGGTGTAATTTCTTTGACAGGTGGTCTCACCTGGGTGGTTGAGGATTTTTACACCTTGCTCCATCATCAGAGCTTTTTTAACTGCACTACCTGTACATTCTGTACACAAAGTAAAAGATTCTGGGAGGACTTCAAACTTAAAAAATCTCATTAAAGCTATCAGAGCAGATAAAATATGGAAAAATAAATGATGAGTAACAGTCATCAGAAAAATCAGCGTACATCTTTACAAAAGCAATTATTTTTCTTCTTGTCTCCCATCAATATTTCATTGAGAATCAACTTTTGGGATTGCTTTTTGTACGAACTTGAACCTACACAAGTAGAAATCCTCCTTCCGACTTGTAACAGATGGTGAGGATCATATCCCAGTGAAATGGATGACAAGTTAACCTAGTCCAACAAGCATGTGTAAACTCATCAGCTCTTCTAAACTGAGCTCTTTCTTCATTTAAATCTTAATAATGAATAGAATCATGCAATTTGAAATCTGCACAATCAAAAATTTAATAGGACAACACCTTAATTGTGTGGCATGTATAGCTCTTCATCAGCACAAAAAGAGGTTTTATGAAAGTTTTATTAATATGCAGTAGATTATACCAGCAAAGTGATTTTCATGCTGTATTGATTAGCAGGTTGAGACGAGTCTGGTCTTAAAAGGAAATTTCCATTTAAATTTAGATATTCAGCAAAATTAACAAATGCTTTTAAGTAGCGACTTGAATCCTAAATCTCTCTGTGGGCCTAATACAGTGGTAGTTAGTTTATGACATTAAGTCCACAAAATAATAACTATACCTTTAAGTAGAAATGAATACTACTGTATGAATACATGTGTATACATACAGAAAGATGGTTCTTTAGGTCTTTCTGCTTTTGAACTCTGCAGGTAACCTCCCAAATTCAAGCTATTATCTGCCTGTCAAAGGTCAGAGAGGCCCAAGAGGTTGCGATTGCTACTCCGTAAACAGATCATAGGTAGCACTTTGATGAAGTATCAGGTTGCATAAAACTTTTAATAAGTAATATGTAAGTAATATACAGTAAAAAACACTTATAGCGAACATGCTTATAATGAATTAATGCTTATAGCAAAGGGATTTTCACTCCCTGTGGCTTTAAAACATATAATGAATCTAATGGATATAACGAATTATGTTTATAACAATTAAAGCAAAATCGTCCATCCCTGGCACTTTGTTATATTAATATTAGTGTGTTTTTACTGTATACATAAGTAATACTGCAAACATTACATGTCATAAAGTTTTTAGCGTATAGTAGGCATCACTTAAGAAAGAATGACTTCAAATGGGATGGAAGTCCAAATTAGCTTCATTATTTCTTTTGATGTAGCATCCAGTTGTGCAAGACTTTTGGTTACATAATATAATTAAAGCATTTAGCAAATATGCTAAAGTTACATAACATAATTCAAGCATTTAGCAAATATACTAACTGCTTAAAAAGGAATGAAATCAAATGGGATGGAGGTCAAAATTAGCCTTATTATTTCCTAATCACAACAAACCCACAAATACCCCTGGTACTAATTTTTACCACATAGACAGAGCTTTTTTAAATTAATTTCGCAAAATTATTTAGCCATTTGATAATTGTTCATTGAGCCCCATTATGAGCTTGGAAATTGGACTGCAAAGTTCTGTGGACTGCTTCTTCAATTAGTGTATTTAGAGATTACTGGTAGTGACATACAAAGTGTTCTGATTTCCAATTCAGTTACCTCCTCAGGGTTTGGAAGTGGAATACTGCAAAATCAATAGGAAACGGTCCTGAGTTGATGGACAACCTAGCAGCATTGGGAAATCCTCCATTAATCAAAATCTAATGCAATCATTTATACTACCTCAAATAATTCAGATTGATGAAATACCCTACACACAATTAAGGAAGCTTAAAAAGTAAATGGCAAATTATAGCTCTACATGTACATTTTATTTAAATGTTTCAAAATATGCAGTAACACTCATAAGTTCTGTGATCGATACACAAAATTTCCAATATCTCTTGAATTCTGTGAAATCCCTCATAATCCATTAACCGGCCTTTAAAGAAAACTTAACCAAAGGATTTAAATCCCTAAAATACATCATAACTCTTTATTTCTTGATAGCAATGGGGAAACCCTATAAATTCACATATTTCTTTGCAATATCTATTGAACTATTGGGCTCAATTGTACATAAATATCTGCAGTGTGCATGTCACAGTTATCATTCGAATTAATCCTTAGGGAAACATCAAATCCTGCTTTGAAGATCCAATATATAACAAAAAACTTCCTTGATCCTTGTATATCATGTTTTACCCTGTCTAAGAAATGCCATCATTTTATCATTTGTGAAGTACCTCATTCCATCGTCATCCAAGTTATTGATGAATTCCTCTTCTGAAGCCCTAGGTATGCTTGTAATTTGTATAAAATCAGTTCGTTTACATTAACCAATCAGGAATTCATCAACTCTTGATTAAATAAACTCTAATCTCACACACACACTGCTATTTTGGGGTGTATTAGCTTTTACTTCTCTCCATAACTAGACTTTGGACCTTGGTAAGTTAAGGAACAAAATGTGAAATACCACAATGAATTAATGAATCTTCTAAGTTTTGGTCTATACATTATATAACAACTTTTGAAGGAAGTATACACCAAATGACGTCTCCCTCTGATGTATGTAAATTTATTTAAATCTTGCCAAAAAAGGGATAAAAAAGTTTCAGATGACTATATAAATGTTGTCAGGTACAGTACTGTCGATGACCTCATCTCCGAACTTAGATCACCCTGACCTACATATGCAGTGAAGTGCAACATGAGCCTTACATAATGACAGCAAATGATTATCACATTCAGTTTAATTTATAAATTAGTCTACATAGCTATACTCTATTTTGCTAATAATTCATTAAGATAATTATCTAAATTTTTCATACTGTAGACATAAAATGTTCAAGTTGTCTGCAAAAGAAAATTAAGAAATAAGATTCTAACTAAGGTAAGCCCACCATACTGTATTTTACTTTTTTGCACTACTGGATGATTTTTTACATTAACCCAGTGGCAGATCCAAATTTCCTTTAGATTTAAAATTAGGCTTATATCTATTTTTCTCTGTTGCATGTAATATGCTATATTAAATTCAACAACACTCTATTCATGTTATTGTTGTACTTCCAACTGAAAGATTAGCTCTGTGCCCACACAAAACATAGTGCCAACCCAAGAGTTCATGCATGTTAAAATCTGGCACCCCATGGTATTATGCCAAAAACCACTCGATCAATGACACTTATTTTTGCTGTATATTTCATAAGCCATCCTTTGGCACCATCTTCATAGATGAACATATTTATGAAGAAAGCTTATTAACCTTGCCAAGATAAAACACAGGCAACTTCTAATTGTCTCTCTAATGAAGCAGAGGCAAAGATAAAATGGCCCTCAAAAAGCCCAAGTTTTGTGGAAAAATCAATTTGCACCATTGGTCCATCATATCATCTAATGTCTCTTACACTCAGGAACAGCCATCCTTTGCTTAAAAGCCAGACATGTAATTACCTCAATAAAAGATAAAAAGATAATTTCTAGATCTGAAGTATCCCAATATGACTGAATAACACTTTAAACACTTTCAACCAAGAAAGGAATGATCACAAGTATGCCTAATCTTTAAAAATGTCAGAATTTTCAGAATGATGTGTAACCTTGTGTGGTGTTCAAAATTTATTCACTAAAAAGATATTTTGGCAAGTTTGAAACATATAAGATCATAAATCAAATACATAGCATAAAATATTTAGTATCTGGGATATGGTCACAATAACCAAAGATCAGTTTGCTGTAGCACAAAGCATAGAGGAATAGAAGCCTGCAGTGAATTAACAACTTACTCTAGTTTCTGTAGAAAAATTGATGCTTTCTGACTGCAACACTGACAAGTGATTGATTACCCTTTTTCACTAACACAATGGACCAACAATTGTTTACATTAGATAAATATAAATGTTGTGAAATAAAATTTTGGATGTTTCATTAAACAAGCAAATATTAAAACAGATCATGCATATTAACCCCCCCCCCCCCAAAAAAAAAAAAAACAAAAAAAAACAAAACCCAAACATATTATACCAATCTCCTCAAATACTGCAAACAATTAATGATAATGCAGCCCTACGGTTTTACAATACAATTTCTGACAACCAGCAAACTACCGGTAAATTTGTGATAAACCATCTCCTTGTCTGATTCCTCTGAACCATAGAGAACAGTGGACTTGGAGCAATTATAGCTGTCACTTGCTCATGGTGTATAAACTTGTGAGATGTAGACACTAAAGTTCAAAAGTCATACATTCTGGTCCCAGTTTCATCTAATTTTCACCCAAATTAACATTTTGTAAGTTCGTAGACATTTAAAATTAAAATTAAAAATAAAAAATAAAAATTTCTTATCCACTAGGTTTCTCTTTATGAACATTCTTGGCCATAAACATTATGTCAGGACAAGAAATTAATGACTTCTCTCTTCCCACTCTGACATCTTAATAAATGCTTCGGTACTTTTATGG